TTGGTTTCCCTTTCACCAGTATCGAGAACGAACGCGGCAGGTCCAGCACCTCCCCCTTCTCACGCCTCCCACCACCGATCCCCCCCCCCCCCCCGGCCGCAACCGTAGCCTCCTCGCAATGGCGTCCGACGACGCTGATGCCGGCGGATCCGGCCGCAAGACTGGCCACCAGCGAAGGCGCAGCAGCACTAGCCGCCACAATCGCGTACAGCCCTCACCCCGCACGACCGACGAGCCCACAGGCACCCAGTCCCTGCCACCCGCCCAGTCTTCGCTGCCCAGCCACAGCCTCTCGACGGGCCAGCTGGCCTCGCAACTTGGCGACCTCGGATCTCCCTATCCAAAGGACCGTCACCTCGCAGATCGCTCCGGTATCCTCACCTCGGCGGAGACCAAGCTGGGCGACCTCAACGTCGTGGCCGCCTACAAGGCCCACTTCCGCGAGTCGCCCTTTGAGTTTCTCCAGCAGTTTGTCGCCTACGGCCAGGGCACCGGCTGGCGCGGCTACTCCAACTACATTGGGGCGCCCATCCTCTACCCGGGCATGTCCGACGAGACCATCCGTGCCGTACTCGCCAGCGACCAAGTCCAGGAGCGCATCCGCCGCCTCGCCGCGCTCCGCATCGACGCCCTCTTCCCCGACACCGGGCCCATGCCGCCCTCGGGGCCCACAAAGGCGCAAAAGTCGCTTGCCGTCTTCAAGCAGCGCAAACAGCGCGAGATGGAGGGCCAGCTGCGCGACGTCGCCCACCACATCCTCGTCAAGTCGGTGGCGCGCATCGACTCGCTCCGCTTCCTAAAGGCCTTTGCCGCCAGCGTCAACAACGTCCTCGCCCGAATGTACCACCAGGGCATCCACATCAGCGTGCCCCAGGTCCTCGAGCTGCGCAGGGTGGCCGCCTACGCCGCTGAGCGCAAGCAGAGCATCATCTTTCTGCCGTGCCACAAGTCGCACATCGACTACCTCACCGTCTCCTGGCTCATGTACCGCCTTGGCATCGCGCTGCCCCACATCGTCGCCGGCGAGAACCTCGATCTGCCCGTCGTCGGAAACATCCTGCGCGGCGGCGGCGGCTTTTTCATCCGGCGCTCGTTTGCCGGCGACCAGCTCTACCCGATCGTGATCAAGGAGTACATCGAAAATATCCTGGCAAACGGGCGCAACCTCGAGTGCTTCATCGAAGGCACCCGGTCGCGCACGGGCAAGCTGCTTCCGCCCAAGCTGGGCATTCTCAAGTACGTCGTCGAGGGCCTGCTGGCGGGCCGCACCGACGACGTGTGGGTCTGCCCCGTGAGCCTGCAGTACGACTCGGTCATTGAGTCGGAGACTTACGTCTCGGAGCTGCTTGGCAAGCCCAAGGAGTCCGAGTCGCTGCTGGGCCTGCTGAGCGGCAGCTCGTCGCTGCTGCAGCTCAAGATGGGCCGCATCGATATCCGCTTCGACACGCCCTGGTCGCTCCAGGGCTTCATCGAGGAGCAAAAGGCGCGCCGCGCCGCGCCCGGGCCGGACGACACCAAGGTCGAGCTCGACATCCGCAACAGCGAGCAGCACAAGGTGCTGCTTCTGCGCGCGCTCGGGTACCGGGTGCTGGCCGACATCAACAAGGTGGCCGTCGTGATGCCGGCGGCGCTGGTGGGCACCGTCATCCTGACGCTGCGTGGGCGCGGCGTGGCGCGCTCGGAGCTGATCCGGCGCGTCGACTGGCTCAAGGACGCCATCACGCTCAAGGGGTACAAGGTGGCCGACTTTGGCACCATGACGACGGCCGAGGTTGTGGACCGCACCACGTCGACCGTCATGAAGGGCCTCATCACCGAGCAAAAGGACGTGCTCGAGCCCACCTTCCTGCCTGAGAAGCGCTTCGAGCTGAGCTTCTACCGCAACCAGGTCATCCACATTTTTGTCAGCGAGGCGCTCGCCTCGGCGGCGCTCTACACCAAGGTCAAGCAGGGCGGCACGGCGCCCATGCAGCGCATGACGAGGTCCGAGCTGCTGCGCGAGTGCAGCTTCATCTCGTCGGTGCTGCGCAACGAGTTCGTCTTTGGAACCGACACCCTCGAGGGCAACGTCGACAAGACCATCGAGGGCATGGTCGCCGACGGCATCCTCCAGCTCAACCGGCCGGGCGTCGAGGGTGAAAGCGAGGGCGAGGAGACAATCGAGATCAGCATGAAGGAGCGAGAAATTGGGCGCGAGAACTTTGACAGCTTCCTCTTCCTCATCTGGCCGTTTATCGAGGTGCGTTCTGACCTCGGCCGCCCGCGCTGTCGTCGGCCTTTGTCTGCAAATCCCGTTCTTGCACGAGTCACTGACGCACGGGTCTCTCCTCTCCCTATCTTCACTCTGCCTCATCTCTTGGGCACACGCTCTGCAACGCGACCGATCGAACCCACAGGGCTATTGGCTAGCGGCAGTGACGCTCCTCTCTCTCCTCCCCTCCTCGTCAGCCGGAACGGGATCGATTGCGTACTACAACCTGAGTGCGCACACGAAGCACGCGCAGCAGATTGGCAAGACGCTCTACGCCCAGGGCCAGCTGGCCTACCTGGAGAGCATCAATGCCGCCGTCCTCTCCCAGGCCTTTTCGCGTTTCCAGGAAATGGGCGTGCTGCTGCGCGACAAGTCGACGCCGCGTCCCGGCAAAAAAGTCGTCGACGTCATCGCCATCAACCCGGATTGGTACCCGCCACCGGCACCGGCACCGGCAACGGCACCGCACGATGAGCAGGTTAGAAAAGCGCAAGAGCACCAGCAGCAGCAGCAGCGTGGACACGCGCCGCATGCGAGTGCCGATGCCGACGGCGACGACGAGGATCAGGGCAAGTTGTACGACCTCATCCAGCACCTCGGCCACTTTAGGAGAGAGGGAAAGGATAGGAGAGAACAGAGCGTCGCTTCGCGCATCCTCGGCCTCGTCTCCATCGGCCTTCCAGAGGTTGTAGAGTTTCGTAGAAATAGACGCGGCCACAGAGAGTCGGCCAACCTGTAGCGAGGTCGATACCGGCAAGCCATGCAGGGGCGCTCCTACCACCCCGTTTTTGCTGCCTCCCACTCTTAGGGACTTGCTTCGAGAGCAATGCATAGCCAAATGGGCACACAGCCCGGCACGCCTTCAGTCAGACTGGGCTTGAGCTGTCTGGACTCGATTTGCGATTACGGATTTTCGAGGAGCATCTATAGGTCGCCACTGCCACGAAGCGCAGAGGGGAAGCGTCCCTCTCCGCCTCCGCGCCGCCGTCCACGTGGACCGCCCGCCTACTTCTTCTTGGGGTAGTCGTCAGGGCCCTGTCAAGAAGAGGTCGGCAAGAAGAGAGCGAATCAGAAACGGGAAGAGCGGTCCAAGGTGTCAGAATGATGGCTGTGCCAAACTCGAGGTGTCTCCCAGGCTCCGGCCCACCCCTGCCCTGCCTGCTGTAAACTCGACTCACCAGCATAAACTCGGGCCTGACGATCTTCTCGAACTCCTCGCGCGTCAGGAAGCCGAGCTCGACCGTGGCGTCGACCAGCTTGGTGCCCTCCTTGTGCGCCTTCTTGGCCGCGGCGGCGACGTCTATCCGAGTCGGGAGATGTGCGGGAGCAAGGAGGAAGATCAGAGGACGGGCAGGACGTGGGGCAAAATGGTCAGCGACGTGCACATCATCACGAAGGCAAGTGAGAGAGATCGCGACGACGCACTGTCGTAGCCGAGGTGGCTGTTGAGGATGGTGGCGAGCATGAGCGACTCGTTAAGGATCTTCTTGATCGTGTCGCGGTTGGCCTCGATGCCCACGACGCAGTTCTTGGTAAAGGAGCGCGCGCCGTCGGCGAGGAGGCGGATGCTCTGCAGCAGGTTCTTGATTAGCACCGGCTTGAAGACGTTGAGCTCAAACTGGCCGTACGAGCCGGCGACCGAGATGGTCGTGTTGTTGCCCATGACCTGGGCGGCGACCATGGTGAGTGCCTCGCACTGCGTCGGGTTGACCTTGCCCGGCATGATCGACGAACCCGGCTCGTTCTCCGGCAGGCTCAGCTCGCCCAGGCCGCAGCGCGGGCCTGAGCCGAGGTAGCGGATGTCGTTGGCAATCTTCATGAACGACACGGCCACCGTGTTGAGCGCACCCGACGCCTCGACAATGGCGTCGTGGGCGGCGAGGGCCTCAAACTTGTTGGGCGCCGTCTCAAAGTGGAGACCGGTGATGTTGGAGATCTCCTTGGCCACGGCCACGTCGAAGCCCTTGTAGGTGTTGAGGCCCGTGCCGACGGCGGTGCCGCCCTGGGCGAGCATGCTCAGCCTTGGGATGACGGCCTTGACGCGCTCGATGCCGTTCTCGACCTGCTTGACGTAGCCGCTGAACTCCTGGCCCAGCGTGAGGGGCGTGGCGTCCTGGAGGTGGGTGCGTCCGATCTTGATGATGTCGTCAAACTCGGCGCGCTTGGCGTCGAGGGCGACGCGCAGCTCCTCGAGGGCCGGCAGCAGCGAGCGCGTGATCTCGGTGACTGAGGCGACGTGCATGGCCGTGGGGAAGGTGTCGTTGGACGACTGGCTCATGTTGACGTGGTCGTTGGGGTGGACGGGCTTCTTGGACCCCAGCTCGCCGCCGAGGATCTCGATGGCGCGGTTAGAGATGACCTCGTTGACGTTCATGTTGGTCTGGGTGCCCGAGCCGGTCTGGAAGACGACGAGGGGGAAGTGCGAGTGGAGCTTGCCGGCAATGACCTCGTCGGCGGCCTGGCAGATTGCGTCGGCCACCTTGGCGTCGAGGCCAAACTGCTTGTTGACGGTGGCGGCGGCCCTCTTGAGCACGCCAAAAGCCTCAATCAGGGGTGCGGGCATGCGCTCCTGGGGACCGCCAATGTCAAAGTTCTGCAGGGACCTCTGAGTCTGTGCGCCCCAGTATCGGTCGGCGGGGACCTGCAGAGGGCCAAAGGTGTCCTTCTCGGAGCGGAACTTGGCGTCGGCCTGACGGGGTGCGGGAGCAAGGCCGAGGTGCACAGGGCGGTCGAGACAGTTGGTCAGCAGAGAGGTTCCCCGGACGATCGCGACCATGGGAGCCTGGCTGGAACGAGACCGAGATTGGCGGGTGCTCACCATGATGGAAGTGGAGGCGAAACCGCGGCGCGCAACGGGGGCAGCGCTGGCAATGGCGAGGCGCGGGGCAGCACGGACCGACGAGGATCCCTGGTTGCGACAAAGACAAGAGGCGCGCAGGCGTGCGACGATGAGATCAAAGCGAAGAGAGGCGGTGGGAACGGGTCAGCGGAGAAGGCTTGCAAAGGTACGGTCGAGCAGGGTTGAGGCGATGAAGGTCGATGGTCAAGGCGGGTAGGCGGGGAGGCGGCGTTGGGCTTGGGCTTGGAGAGGAGCACGAGTCGGCTGGAATGGCCGTGCGCCGGCGACAGCCTACGCTGCCAGGGTCCAAAGAGGCTGAGGCCGCCCCTGCGACACAGCGACACAGGGAGACGAGCGGGCAGAGGAGCCACGGCGGCAGAAGTGCGACAGCGGCGGCAAGCATCCCTCCCCCTGGCTTCTGACCTCGCATCACATCTCGAAGGCAGGCCGGGGGTTTGGCCTCGTCGTGGGCGCTCGGCTAGTCTCGGGACCGAGCCGCCCACGACGGCAACAGCCGACGGCTCCTTCCAGCCGCACTCTATCGCTCCACCCGCCAGACCCAAGGACGACGGCGCCGCCATATATTCATCGCCTCGGAAGCGGCTGCGACCTGCGTAGACTTCGAAGCCGCCACCCTTGGCCGCCTCAGCGGACTGCTGCCCACACTCACCCGGGCCAGGGTCCTCATGGCGATAGAACGAGCGACCATGTTTGCTGCGGCGGAAAAGAGAGGAAGGCTACGGCAAGTGGTAGGGCGTGGGAGCGGGTCGAGGGCAGATAAGAGGGGTCGAAGATGGTGGAAGAAGGAAAGTCAGGCCGAGCAGGCTCAACCAGGACACCACCACGGTTGGAACCATCCGATCCGAACCGTCAACTCCACTCCCCGCCCCTCGTTGGGCTGACCTGGCCTGGCCTGGCCTGGGCTGGGCTGGGCCTTGGTCAACCGGATCGCGGGCCAGCCGGTCGCAGGTCGCAGAGTCGAGTCCAGAGAGGTCCGAGGTCCATGGGGTGGTGACGTGCCCTTTTGCCCGCGCCCGCCCGCCGCCGACCGGAAATTTTGGGATCGGTCGGCCCGCCGTGCGTCCGTTTCTTCCAGAAGCTCGAAGGCTCAGAGCCTGGCTCGGACAGACTCGGAGCGCCCGACGGCGGCCGCGGCGTCGGCCCCTGCTTCTGCTCGCGCTGTCGGGCAGCCCGGATCGCTTGGCTGGACGCTCGTCCGAGAGCTCCAACATGCCGTCCACCCCCCACCGCACAGGAGCTATCGCACGAGACAACCAAAACAGCGGGCCCTGTGGCCGCTCCACATTAAACAACCTCGGCCACGCTGTCAATCTTGTCCAACTGCCCTTTGCCACCACCACCACTCCTTCCGAGACCACCGAGATCCATCACCACCGGCGGCCACACGGCTGCCTCCGCAAGCGTCTACAGCGAGCAAGCTGTCGTCTGCGGCAATGACGCAGGCAACAGGGAAGCATAGGGAACCTTGTCAGCCTCTGGCACGCACCACGGCCACCATCTCAACATGACCCCCGAGCTAACGCCCCGCTCGGCCGCGGTGGCCCTCCGCCTCGCACCCCGCGATTCATCCCTCTCGTCATCGTCATCGCCATCGCCATCCTCATCTTTCCCCTCGACCACTGCGCCTCTCGCCTCGAAAGCCCTGATCCCGCTGCGCCCGGGCGAGATCTCGCTTCGCCAGCAAAGGATCCTCACCGAGGCCGAATACACCTCGTCCCTCTCAGACATCATCAAGCGCGACTTCTTCCCGCACCTAGACCGCCTGCGTGCAGAGAACCACTATCTCACCGCGCTAGAAGGCGGAGATGCCCTCGAGATCAACAGCGCCCTCAGGAAGCTCATCGCCATCGATGATGCCGAAGGGGCAGGTGGCTCCTCCTCGACACGAGCACCGCAGCGCCGGGAAAACGCAGAAAGACCATCAGGTACCCCCATCACAAGCCGGGCAGGAGATACGACTTGTCGCCACCCTCAGCATGCAGGGGAGACGCCTCTTCACGCAAGCATAGGAGTTCAGGGCTGGGAAGGTACTCCCGCAGCACAAAAATCGGCTCGTGGCGACCTGACGACGGCCGACCTTCGCTCCCCTGACAACGCCAATAATGCCGCTTTCGACGACGGTGGCGACGACGAGGAGCCATCCGGCTTCACGCCGGACCTCTCTCTCTCGCTGGACGCCTTTCAGACCGCGTACACGTCTGAGGACAACGCGTCCTTTGCCCAGATCATGGATCGGACAAATCAGCTTCGCAAAGAGCGATTCTCCTGGGCCTACGAGTCCGCGAAGAGGGCCAATGACAAGAAGCGCAAGGCCGTCGAGAGCGCTCAGCAGGAGGCGGTTCAGGGCAAGAGGCTCGCGGTCGCTGCTGCCGTCGAGTCGGGCAAGGGCATAGGGGCAGAGGAGCGCCTGCTCATCACCGGGATCGCGGTCGACAAGGCTGCTGGCTCAGAAGAGGGCGCTGATGGCAAGGATGACGACGAGTCTCGCGCACGGGGCGTCGCAAGACAAGGGGCAGCACTGGAATCTGGCTCTTCCAGCAGAGGCGACTTGGCCGTTCCGCTGTGGCCTTTCAAGGTGCGCAACGCACTCATGTACCCGCCCGACGCCGACATTTCGACGTCCCGCAGCCGGAACAGCTCTCTTGTCCCGTCAAGCTCAGCACCTCCGTCCCTTCGCCAAGGCCTCGGCTCGCTTCAAGACAATCTCGGCAAGGCTATGCCGGCGGGTCCGTCGGTCAACTTTCGGCGCACCGACTTCTCCACGTTTGACGATGACGTGCTGCAGGAGGACGGCGCGAGCGTCGTGCCAGGCACACCTTCACGCAGCACTGTCGATGCGGCGATACGCGGCAGTCTGATCGCATCGTCCGTCGCCAGCGGCGTGAAGGCCGATCCGGCCATCGAAACGCCGCGAGTGGCTGGCTACGGCTTCGTCAGCCCCTATCGGACGCCCGTGTCCGAAGCGCCGCTTGACGACGAGGTCGACAGGGGCAAAAGACTCCCAAGATTGCGAGGATCCAGCTTGCCTTTCTCTCAGGTCGATGCCGGCCCGTCTCGGCCCTCATTCTGTCTACCGCCCACAAGACACCGAGAGGAGATTGCGCATCGCCTGGCTGGTTCCGCTTCCAAGTCGCTCAAAAGCAAGGCGTCGTCGTCATCGAGGCAGGGTGCGGAGACGCCGTATGGAGTGGCGAGGTATCTGGGTCCGGCGACTAGCACAGCCCACAGTAGTGGCCGCAGCGTCCCCGGCGGCAACGCGCTCTCGTCGCGTGGTGCGACTCCGAGCTCGGCCAAAAAGAGGAGGGAAGATCTGACGCCCGCGGCAAAGAGACTGCTCGACCTCACCTCGCGCACTCCGATTGCCCGCGGCAACCTGCCATCCAAGCGGAACACGAGCGCCGCCGTCGCCATCGGTTCGGCTAAAGAGAGAGCCACCAGGAAAGGGGAAGCGAGAGACGAGACGGCTCGTCTGGATCGATTCCGCAGGCAAGGCTGGGAGCCGACGCCCAGCCCGGTTCCGCACCGCGCAAGGCAACCAGCGGATGCCCCATAGAGCGGTCTTGGCACCGCTGGTGTCGTCGCTAGTCCCACGCTCGGTCAATGACCTATTCTGACCACCATCACAATTAAACCATCGAGCTCGCTTGTACTTGTAAGCCTGACCACCATAGCGCACCTCATCCCGCCAACATGTTGACCAATGGCATCACATCGCAACTGTCTCCCTGATGAGCCCTCGCAGTGTGACGGTGCTGCGCCCCACGGAGGGCCAGGACGCCGCTCGTTCTCGCGTAGCGTCGCTCTGCCGTGTTCGCCCTTAGCCGCAAGCCCCGCCACGCGGCTCCAACCTGACGATGGCACAGGAGGAAGCCCGCTGGTTCTCGCCTGTGTCCGGCCGATCCTAGGACGCAAAATCTCTGCAAGCATCCGGCCAACGCTGCTGTCTCTGGGCCGAGCGATCTGTCCGCGTCGTCACCGCCATGGACTCTCTGGTCTGCATGCCGCTCGAGAGGTGATCTCACTGCGCGGTGCGAAGATTGCCCAACGCCCGATACGCTGGACGAGGGGATCAGACAGCCCCGAGGTCAGAAGGGTCCTGACGTCCTGCTTCTTTGGGAGCCTTGCGCGGATCTTGATCTTGAGAGGGGCTGAGCCACCTACCTGCGGCGTTGAGCCGAGGGCCATGGTCATTTGCGAGTCGATGCGTGTTTAGGTCTGTCACGAAGACGTGGGGTCGGGCAGCGAGGTGAGAGGGATACATGGCGAAGGCGTCACGTCAGCTGCTGGACTGGATCATGACGCCGACCCAGGTCAAGGCGGGATCGAGGCGGCGACGAGGCGGCGACGGGCCCGGCACCTACGGTTGAGCGTTCCATACGCCTTGTCGCATCCCGCAAAGTCGCAGATGTACTTGCGGTCGATCTCGTCACCCTTGCGCCGCTTGCGAATGCGTCGAAGCGGCTGAGTCGGTCCTTCGCGACCGGCGCCGCCACGACCGGACGCCGCTCCGGCAGATGATCCATCAAGCTCATTGAGAGGCGTTGGGCGGCTACCCGAAGCAAACTGGCCATTCGAACCGCGGTACCATGTGCGGCGCTTGCCATTCTGCTCGAGAACTTCGAGTCGTAGCGTCGCCGACTCGGCACGACGTAACGACGTCGACGTTGTTGCCGGTGCTCCCGCACACGTTGGTGGCGCGGTGTCGCCCCTCCTCGGACGTTGCGCAAGTTCCGGCCGGTAGCCACCGAGGCTGCCGGTCAGCAAGCCCAACGCCGCCCTTGACGCATGCTCGGTCGTGTCTGAAGGGCTACGTTCCATCGAGATCGGACGCTCGACGGCAGCAGCGTGGGTGAGGCTCAAGGCTGACTGGTCGGTCCGGGTATGCGCAGCTCTCATGGTTGGCAGAAAAGTCCAGGACGTCTCTACAAAGACGCCCGGTGGTCAAGCACGTTAGCACTCACGACTGCATCAACGATCTGTCCGACACTGAGGCAAGATTGGTCGGACTCGCAATCCGCTGCGCAACCGGATCCCATCGGAGACTTACCCTGCTTCATCGCAGGCATCCCTTCTGACCCAGGGGCTGCAGGAAAGGTATAGGACGCGGAACGCGCCGGGGCGAGGCCGTCTCCAAAGCGGTGCAGTCCGTACATGGGAGATTGCTGCCACCCTGAGTTGACGTTGAGCAAGTCAAGCTGGTCCGCAGGGCGCTGACTTGGCATCTCTGCTGCTGGTAAGATCTCGTTCCCTCGGAGGGCTGGGCGCAGGGCGGCCCAAGTGTGCGCTTGGGTCGGGAGCGAGGCAGCGGTCGAAGCTGCTGTCCAGAAGTTGGTCGAGTGGGAATCTGGCGACTCGCTCGCTGCAGCCGAGGGCCAAAAACTTGACCAGGGTTGGTGCTGATGGTCGTGGTATGTATAGCTTGCCTCGATCCTGAACGGCATCCCAGCGCTGCTTGTGCCAGTTTGGGGTTGGGTCAGCGCTGGCTGAGAGCAGACATCGGGTGCGTACGGCGTGTCGTGGGCAAAGCCGAGCGAGGGCCCCGAGAGCTGCGCGTCAGAGCCCCAAGCGCTTCCGCGAGCCCCTCGAGGTAGCGTCGGCAACGGCACCGTCGTAGAGACGCAATGCCTGAGAGGGTCGACTCCATCCGCGCCACGGTTCCACTGCGTAAGGGGAATCGAAGCGAGACCAGCCGAAGGAGATCTCATCTCTTCTGCTCCTGGAACCACGGTGACCCGACTTCTGACCTGTGGGAACGGCACAAGGGGGTCGGTCGGCGATGTGCTCGGGTCAACGTGCTGGCTGTCGTCGCGCTATGTCTATTCCCCCTGCTGCCAGTAGGTGTGCTCGATCGCGACTACTCAGTACCTACCCAGTCAGCTCGAGGCACAGGAAGGCACTGATCTGCTTACACAGCGAACGTGAGGTGAAGATCTCCATCGGATCAGCGGCGCGCTTTGGTCTGACCTCGGAAGCGCTAAGAGGCAGGTAAGTCTGGACTCACCGCCGACGGCGCTGCCGAGGACAGGACGAGGCGAGCCATGACCGGTGGCGTCTGGCATTTCGGCGTCGTTGCCCCTAATGGCTTGCCCTGCCGAATCAAATCGAGGCGTCGGGATGCTGCATTGTGTCGCTTGGCCTGGAGCGTTCCACATGGCCCCGTCCGGCGGATCGATTGATGGAGGAATCCCAGCCAGCGAAGTGTTGCAGGCGGATCGTTCGTCTGGCTGCCAGGGCTGTACCAGGACGCCGTTTTGCAGCGGATGCAAGCTGCTTTCGCTGCGGCGGTGATGACAGTGGTCGAGATTGCTGTGGCCATCTAGACTCGTCGCGTTCATCACTGTCGTCCGCTGTTCGGTCGGACCAAACGAGAGCGGCGCGGAGTGACGCGGATCTCTGCGTGGCTCCTGTGCCACGTCGGCCATGGCGAGCGGGTCGTCGGACATTTTGGCGTCCGTGGCGACCAAGTGGCAGTTGCCGCACGTCGATGGCACCTCAGGAGCCGTCCAGGCTAGTCGCATCAACGGAGGGGCTGCGAAAGGGCTCAGTGCGGTTCGAGATCGAGGCGCAAACACGAGGGCAGTGCATGTCCGCTGCGATCGACTGAGGGCCGTCTCGCAGCGTTGGGCGAAGTCCGAAGAGGCCGAGTCGAGGAGGTGACGAAGAGACTGGCTGGTGGTAAGAGCTCGTGCAAGATGAATGGAGGGCGATGGCGGTGGCTGTAAGGTGAAGGGAGGGACGAGATCATCAAGCAGCATCGGGCTTGCTTTTGACCTCGAGCGAGAGATTGGCCAGGCCCCTGGCATGGGCACCAGGCGAGGGGACGAGATTGGGTCTTACCCTCGCTTTGCCTCGCCCTCACACGGCCCGGTCCCGCAGCGTGTGATGGAACAAGGCGACGGTGCAGTTCCAACGACTAGGCCATCGATCGATGGACCAAGCGAGCTGATTGCCGGACTGCACCCCAGAAGTTCGAGGCACTCTTGCCCCCCCTGGCGACGCCTTGGCCAAGCCCAAGACAGGTCGCGGGCTCGCATCGGGTTGCAGCCATGCCCAAATCATCCGGCAATTGTTCGGCTGAGAAGCTGGCCAGCAGCTTCTCGGAGAGCAAGCACTAGAGAGGAGTGCCGGAACGATGCCGGCGGCTCTTGTCCGGCTTCACGACTCGTGTCGATGTGCCTTGCCTGCAAAAATTGTCCGGAGAAGCAGAGCGGCGTGATTTTGTACGAGGGCAGACGGGGGGATCCGCGTGTGTCGAACAGTGCTGCCAGTCATGTCTCAACTGCTCAGCTAGTGGGAACTATCCGTCGAACGGCGGACTGCTCCCAGCCCCGCTGCATGAAGCGCGATCTCTCCTCGCCAAGGCCGTTGGAGGCCATCCGGCCAGCAAGATGAAAGGCGGCCAGGCGTCGGCCGGCGCCGAATCCGATATCGCCTAGACGGTGTTGAGTATCCTCTGAGGCGAAGTAGTACAAGCGCACACCACAAGCCGAACGACCGCGGCTGGACCTGCCCTAAAGACTCGCCTCTTGTCTGTGTGCGGAGCCAGTTCCGCACAGCCTCGGCCCGACGTCGCCACCCGACCTCAAGGAGCTTGGCCGAGCGGGCGTAGTCACACGAGTGCCAATTGAAAGGCAAGCGCCCAGCCCCCCGTGCTGCTGCCAGGCCGTCCGCCCGCGACTGCCTCAAGTGTCGAGCGATGCGGACAGAGCAGCAGAGGACGAAAGCGGTCCTCTTTCAAGCCAGCGTGTCGGCTGCAGTTGACGAAAACAAAGGTCCAAGTCGATCGGCCCTCTTGCGGCGTCGTTCATGCGGCGTTTGTTACAGCTGCGGAGACGCCAAAGCATAGTCCTCTATCGCCTCCTTGCTGCCGTATTCGGGTGTATTCCGCTCGACGGCACGGGATGATCTCAACAGATCGAGCCTGGTGGAAACCGGATCCACGCCCTTCAACGATCTCGACCGCTCTTCCTTGCGTCGGGCAGCCGGGTGGCCGCTGACGTCTCGGCTCCTTCCGCCTGCGTGTTTCCTGTGTGTCATTGGTACGCAGAATGGCAGAGTCTGTGTGCCCATTAGGGCATGGAGCACATCGAAACAGTCCTAGATGACTGACTCGTTGTTGCGGGGCAGGCCGGCACCGCGTCTCTCGATCAAGGACCCGCCTTTGGGCCCATCACAGCCTGTCGATGTAGACCCTCATCGGGAGCCCATCAGACTGATCATTCTGTCCTACTCTCTCACCAGTATTCGGAATCTGAAGCCTCGGCGCCTTGTGAAGTTCACCAGAACACGAGTGGTTGCCGCGGCGAGGCGAACGAAGTGTAGAGCAAGCCCGGACATGGTGCTGTCGTTGGTCCCCGTTGCTGTGGCGAGCCCGCACATGGCTTTCGTGGCGCTGAAGGTCGACTTACGCAGTGCGGACCCTCTGGGACGGCTCCATACGCACGGTCGTCGGCGATGTTCGCTGTGCATGGTCAAGCGTCTCCATCTCCTGCTCGTTGATGTCCGCGACTCTGTCTTCCAGGATCAGGTTAGGAGCGATTGTGGAGGGCAACCGGAGTCGAACGTCGGAAGCCGGATCTCGGAGCGTTCAGCCATATCGGCGTGAGGCAGGCCAGCCTGGCCTGCGCTGCTCCATGGTTGCACTCTGTGCCACTTCTTGAGCCAAAGGTTATCCATCCACCACCCCATCAGCCCCCTCCTCTCTCTGCCCGACCGCCGCGACCAGCAAGTACATAAGAGAGCACATCACACCTTGCCGCCTCGCGTCCCTCCCGCCATCCCAAGATCTCCCCCTTTCGCGATCGATACCAGTGCGACTGCTCCTCCCTGCAGTGATAGCAACAGAGCGATCCCTCTTCGAAGCGTCAAAGTACCCATCGGCGTTCCCGAAGTGCGTCCATCGGCACTGCCGAAGGGTCGGCAAGCCCCGGCGGCCCATCCACCGTGAAGCGGATCTCTCTCTCCGGCCGGCCCCTAGCGAGCTCGACAAGCACCCACGAGCCTGATCTAGACAGACGCTCCATCGTACGTACAAGATCGCCCACGGCGCAATGCTCGGCAATTCGAGCGAAGCCAAGGCGCATCGCGCCAGCAGCGGCCGGTCTCGGCCCATTTATGTTGCCTCGGAGTCGCCATCGGCTTCTGAGGGGCGTCTTTCTGCAACGCCCGCAAGACAACGGCTGTCTGCACCTGGCGCGGCGGCGTCAGTGAGGAGCGGCCCGTATCCCACGGCCGCGATCAGCGACGCGACTAGAACGGCAAGGGCACGGGTCCTGGGCACTCGCCGCTCCGCCTACGACGACTTCGATGCGGCCGAGTGGGTCTTGGGCCTCTGCGGTAGGATTCGCCATGCCCTTGCATCCCGCCCATCCTCATCAGGGCCACGTCGCCCGACATCGAACAGAGAGGTACCTGTACTTCAGCAGCCTGCGATGCTTCGCAAGGCCGATCGCAGCGCCTGCTCACTGAAAGAGGCCTCGCCTTCCTCGGCTGGCAGTTCCTTCGGGACCTCCGGAACCTCGCCGATGGCGCCCCCGACTATGACCGCCCGGGAATGGGCAAAGAGGGCGCAGGAAGACTTCGAAAAGCGTCGAGCGGTTGCGGCAGCCGAGGCCGACATTGTTCCCCCAGCAGCAGACTCGGCAGCACCTGTTGAAACTGGCCAAGGTACCCCGGCGGAAGCCGCCCGCGCCGAAGCAGTGTCGCAGCACGTGCACATGACGGCCGACTCGATCAAGGAGCTCTTCTCCGCAGGCGGCCTCGAGGCGGGCGATGGCGAGAAGATCGATTTTTCCGACTTCTTCGACAAGGCAGAGCCCTTGCAAGACGAGGCACCCGCCGGCCCATCTGCGCTTTTCGAGGGCCACAGGTCTACGGACGGCACCTTTGACCTTCAGGGCATCCTCGAACATCGCGCTCGCCTGGCCCAGCAGCAAACCGAAGGCGCTGGTGGTGGCAGTCCCTCGGTCCTGATGGGCACCCTTGTCGGTCAGACTGACTGCCGGGAGCGCGGCGCTGACAGCGATGGGTTGACGAGCACGCCGTTGATCCAAGAGCTCCGTCCCGGAAGCGCGAGCGGGTCGCTGGACAGCGGAAACGGTGACGCGCTCCAGACCGAGGAGTGGTCCAACGCGACTGAAGCAGACAATGCGACCCTTCCCGGCAAGCGCCAGGACTTCGCTGACGATGAAAAGCACGATATCGAACGCCAGATCCACGATGACGATGAGAGGGGCATTGAGGACGACGAGGGTTCCCAGAGGATGGCAGTGGACTCAGGTGACGATATCGACGCCAACGGTGACGACTATGAGGACTTCGACGTCCTTGGCGACAGCGATGGCGTTGGCGACATCGATGACGACGACGTTGACAACGCCGGCGTCGATGGAGATGGCGATCTCGACAGTGCTGGCGAGAGCGGGGAAGACGTTGACGGCGCTGCCGCCGCCCACGCAGATGTCCGCCACCTTGCGCAGCCAGGACAAGGTGCAGACGTCGACAGGGCAATCGTTGTCTTGGACTCGGACGACGACGAAAGCGACGCGGCCATGGACGACGAGGACCAAACGTCGGCAAGTACGTCGCGCGAAACATCAATCGAGCGAGGGGACAATGATGCTAGCCACGCAATGGGCCTCACCACGCCCTCACACCATTACGACTCGGACGAGGATCTTATGGCGGAAGATGTGGACGACGACGGCATGGGCTACAGCCAAGGCTACCACGACGACGACGGCATGGGCTGCGACAGCGACGACGAGTCCGCTATCGACGAAGACGAAATGCAGAGCGCGCGCGCAAATTCACCGGATCATCTTCAGCGCCACAACATCGCCGGCGACATTGCCCCCGTCGTGGGCGGGGCACCATCATTGAATTCGAGCCGCTACTCTGGCTTCGTCTCTGCATCCACCCTTCTTCACAGCTCGACGACAGACTCGGAAGCCGTGGGCGCGCCTGACGAGTTGCGTCATCATACGGAGCCGAATTCCACGTTGGGCCCCGTTGCTTCTCCGCCGCCGACCGACTTCGACCGCATCGATCCTCAGCTGCTCGACGGTGCCGACCACGTTGACAACGCCGAACCCGCCATCCAACCTCCGGGTAGTGCCACAGCGACGCCCGACGGTGTATCTGAGGGCATCACAACGCCACCTTTGCCGGTCGAGGCTGAGCCAGGCGCAGCTACACAAGCACGACCTGAAGTGGACGCGGTCCCTAGCGCAACGGCGCAACCGACTGCCGAGATCGCTGCCCCTCTGAAGCACGACGCCGCGGTCCCCGGGACCGACGGAGAGGGTGCGCCGGTCGACGATGCGGGGGTTGTGGACGAAGAGGCTCTGCTGGCGCCGCCATCGTCCAATGCGGGCGTTGACCCCATCGATGTCCCTTCAGCTGGTCTGAACGCTGGCTTTCCGCTCTCACCTGCACGCGACATGGCCGACGAGGCGCCCCTGCCTACCAGCCCGCTCGAAGGCGGTACTCTTATCGAGGCAGGCGGGAATCTGACGCCCGCGCTAAGGGCCGCAGAAGGCATTTCTGGGGTCATCAGCGAGGCGTTGACTGCAGCGGATCATCCGTTGCCAAGAATGCCGGCCGAAGGGGGCGACATCATGAAGACCTCCGAGATCGAGGCCAATCCTGAGGAGCCGCCGGTCCGAAATCCAGATGTTGAGGCATCGGCCAGCGAGGAGATTCGCACCGCGCCAATTGCCCATGACGAGCTCTCGTCGCCAAGACACGCCCATGTCGAAGTCATCCGAGAAGAAGCCATCCAGGGTAAGGTTGGGGAACCCCTCGACGACGAGCTGGCACTGGGAGAGCATCCTAGAGAGGATCCTCAAGGCAGACTCGCAAAGGATCAAGCCGGCGATGATATGAGCTTGAACGTCGATGGTCACCCAGCTCAACCAGATCTAGTCGAATCGGTCGTCATGGCGCCGTCCACGGGAGCTGCCATTCGAGAACAGGCGGCAGCCGATGAAGATGCGAACCCCGACATGACAGACGACAAGGCCAACTTCGCGCCAGCGTCTACTGCCGTCATGGCCGAACAGCCGGCATCGCTTCAAGGGAAAGCATCGTCCCGCACCGAGCAACGTCTTTTGCTTCGGTCGACTGACGGCAGCACCCCTGCCTCTAGCCCGCTCAGCAGCGCTGCGACGCTGCCGCCCGTCAATCCGATCCAGTCGGCGGGCGAACGGATGCTGTTCTCTGCGCTGCCGCCGAGCTCCATGTTTCGGCACAAGCACCGGCACCATCACCACCATCACCGTCACCATCACCCGCTCCCCCATCAAGCGTCTGATTTACGTATGCTCTCGCCCGGCGACCCGAATCTTCCAGCCGGCGGCTCTCAACGACGACTCGATCCGACAGGCGGGATCGGCACTCTCGACGATGCATCGGGTTCAGGCGACCCGCACATGCTTCCTTCCGATGCTCTCGTCAGAGCCTCCGCGTCAGAGCAGACTTCAGATGCCGCCGCTGTGGAGGCAGAGCAGAGGCCGCAAGCAGACGACCAGAAGGCGAAGGGGCAGCCCTCCGAGCACAGCAGCGAAGGGCTCGCAATGCGCCAGATCCGCCAAGACGAGGATGAAGACGAAGAGGAAGAGAGCCACGGACCATCGACTCGTTCGCAGTGAGTACCGTGTGCGACCCGTCATGTTTGATCGTAGCAGCGGAGCAAAGGCGCGCTGAATGCAACCCTCGTCTGGATGCTGACAACTCGCCCCTTGTCTGCGTCCCCCATGCAATGCTCGCACAGGTGCACATTCCACCGCCTTCGTTTCCTCAGCCTCCCCGGTCAGCCTACGTTTATCGTGCCGCAGTGCTCTATCCTGCACGATGTGGCAAAAAACGAGGGCGCGCGCGACGTAGGCCAGGCGACGAATCGACAAAACGAGCTCAAGGTGGAATTCAACCCAGACGAGCTACCGCTCGAGGTACGACACAGTCTCAGCCGCATCATCGGCGTGCAGATGCTTGCAGATGCTGCGGTTGTACCTGGGAGCTCAGCAGAAGCCTTGCTGAGACGCCCCGGACTTACGTCGTCCTCCGGCGCCGATTCTGACCGTGAGCACGGCGATCCTCACCCGCCCACTACGACCAAGAGCCCGGGCCCTTTCGCCGGGATGGATGAGCCCATGGTCAGTCTAGCCTCGCCCACGAGGTCTGCAAGACGCTCACGCACCGCCAGCTCAGCATCGTCATCAAACGGCCAGCGCTCACCGAAGCTCACAGACCGAAAGTCTGGTCGAGAGCAGGCCGCAGAAGATGTGGACGTCCAAGGCCTCGAAGCCGACTCATCGGGATACCGCGACGAATCCGCACCTCGCGCCATTGAGAATGCCAAACTGGTCACGCAAAGCACGACAGACGGCGCGCACTTCGTGGAGCCAGGCTTGACGCCGGGCTCGGCGGGAAAGAAGCGTGTTCGCGGTCGCCGCCGCAAGCACGCCACCGACGCAACATTCCAGCCTGCAAAGGCCGACCAGGATGGCAACAGTGATGACGACGCAGGCAGCGACTCCGAGGGCGATCAGGATGGAACGAAGCCACGCAGCCGGAAGAAGCGCGCCGTTTCGAGTGCTCGCACCGATGGTCCGGATGCTGGCACCGGCTCAGGTCAGAGCAGGCGCGAATCGCCTCGATCCAAGAATCTGCGACGCTCCCGTGCCGTTGACGGCAAGTTCAAGCCGGCCAGCAGAGGCGGCGAGGGAATTGACAAGAGCGATCCCGAGGAGCAAGGCTCGCTCGTATCCGGTGTTCAGACGCGAAAGCAACAGCAGGACGAGACCGAGGTGCTGGACCAAGTTGTCGGCAGCGAAGGCGTCGGCGAGATGGAAGGTGTCGTCGAGGGCGAGCGTTTGCGGGAAGAGGAGCGCGAGGCAGAAGAGATGGACGTCGACGAGGACCAGGACGGCGCAGAAGGCGACGATGGCGGCGTCGAAGAAGCGCCGAAGCGAGCCCGCCGACCTAGCAGACCTCGAAACTCGACGGGAGACACGAAGGCCGGACCCCTCGCAACGCCTAGGACCAGCGTCCCTGCTGCCAAGGAGCAGAAGAAGAGACCGTCGCCGTCACCGCCGTCACGCCGCAGAACGGGGGTTCGCCGCTAAAGATGTTGCCGCGGTCTGCGACAGAGGCCATTCGCCCGGTGGCCAGGTCGGCGCAATGAATAGAATAATGCTTTCGCGGCCATCTTTTCCCCTTCTCGACTGCTGGATTTTGTGAGCAGCTAGTGTTGGAGTCCAAGTCGGGATGTCGACGAGAGCAGGATCGGCCGTTGGAAGGATGCTAGGCCCGTTGGTGCGCTGCGAATCAGGGCCAGAGGTCAACTCTAGGACGACGTGTCGCTGATGCGCGGAAGGCCAGATGGGCGGGAGAAAGGGTCAGAAGCCTCCGCCGGCCTCCGCAGGCAAGGAGATGCGGCTGACCCGCGTCGCAAGGCGTGGTGCAGGCTTCGTTGTGCCGGCCTGCAGATCCGGGGCCACGCCTCAGAGAACCCACCTTTGTGCCCCCAAAGCGAAAAGCTTGAGGCGTGGCAGGCGCAGGCAGGGGGTGGAAACCTCGGACCTGCCTGCGTGCCGTTCGTTGCCCAGAGGTGGCCTGGGCCTGGGCCGGCGCCTGGTCGGCCTACAGAGCAGCCTCTGGGCGCGTGCCCTCAGTCGTGCCTACCTGCCCAACAAGGCTCCGCTTTCTTGGCCCGGGCTTTTTGGCTGGCTGGCTGGCTGCGCCTGGGCCCCCTTTTCCAGCAGCCCACCTGCCAGGCCAGGCCAGCTGAGGGCTGGCTGTGCCGGCCGTCGCCTTTTTGCTAGGTCGTCGAGGCGCCCTGATTGACCCCTCTCTCTGTCCCCACCCGCCAACCAAGCGAGCGAGTACTCCAACCTCGCACGCACCCCTTCGCCGGCTTGCTCCTCATCGCGCCTCGCTCCTCTCTGGCAATCTCTTCCCCACCGACTCCTTCCATCCGCTCTCCTCTGATTTTCCGCTGCGCATAGACTTGGGGCACCCTACCACGCCGCCGACGTTGATCGACAGCCCCGCTCAGTCTGCCGTCAAAACGCACACTGGCCGGTCACGCCAGCCTTCCAGCTCGGCCCCGCCTCTGCCCATCTGAGCCCCTCTTCGCCCAGCTTCAAGAGGGCACGCCCATCTGAGATCCGCATTCGCCACCGTCCTTGCTGCAGAAGACCGCGTCGACGCCGCCCTACCTGATCGCCAACACACCGCCGGACATCCTCTGCGCCCCCGGGTCTTTGCATCTCAGAGCAGGCTCTCCGCCCTGTGCCATCTCTAATCCCATCCTCTGTCCGACACACATCCCGGCTACCTTCCAAGATGGCGGCTGCCGGTACAGATCTCCAAGAGAGGATCGCCGCCGCGAGGCGAGAGGCTGACGGGCTCAAGGAAAAGATCCGCGCCAAGAAGGACCAAATGGCTGACACCAGTCGTGAGTATCTCAGGTGTCTGCCTCCGGCATCGCCGCGAGGTTTCTGTTGCGAGCCCTTCCGGGTGTAATGTCGGCTGATCCAGTCTCCTGCCCCTCGCGTTTTCAATGACTCAGTCCGTGCCATGGCAAACGACATCGAACCCTTGCCGCGGATCGTCATGAAGCCAAGGAGAACCCTCAAGGGCCACCTCGCCAAGATCTACGCCATGCACTGGGCCACCGACAAGCGCCATCTAGTCTCGGCCTCTCAAGACGGCAAGCTCATCGTGTGGGATGCCTACACCACCAACAAGGTCCACGCCATCCCGCTGCGGTCGTCGTGGGTCATGACGTGCGCCTATGCACCTTCGGGCAACTGGGTCGCCTGCGGTGGCCTCGACAACATCTGCAGCATCTACTCTCTCCGCGGCAAGGACCCGGGCAACGTCAAGGTCGGCCGCGAGCTGTCGGCCCACACAGGCTACCTCAGCTGCTGCCGCTTCCTCAACGACCATCAGATCCTCACCAGCTCCGGCGACATGTCGTGCATCCTCTGGGACATTGACTCGGGCACCCGCATCACCGAGTTCAACGACCACACCGGCGACGTCATGAGCATCTCTCTCAGTCCCAACCCCAATGTGTTCGTGTCGGGCGCCTGCGACGCCCTCGCCAAAGTGTGGGACATCCGCTCCGGCAAGGCGGTCCAGACCTTTGCAGGACACGAGAGCGACATCAACGCCGTTCAGTTCTTCCCCAACGGCGACGCCTTTGCCACAGGCTCCGACGACGCATCCTGCCGCCTGTTCGACCTGCGCGCCGACAGGGAGCTCAACAGCTACACCCACGACAACATCCTCTGCGGTATCACCTCGGTCGGCTTTTCGGTCTCGGGCCGCATCCTGTTTGCCGGCTACGACGACTACACGTGCAACGCATGGGACACGCTCAAGGGCGAGCGCGTCGGCGTGCTTGCTGCCCACGAGAACCGCGTGTCTTGCCTTGGCGTCAGCACCGACGGCATGGCACTCTGCACCGGCTCCTGGGACGCGCGACTGCTGGTCTGGGCTTGAGGTGTGCGGCGCCGGGCCTGTTCGGCTGCCCGTCCACTGTCCGGCTGCGCAGCATCCCCTTCGAGGACGTGGAGCGTCGGCATGCGAGAAGGATCCAGGGCCCCATGATCTAGCGCTCGGCCTAAGATGCCATCGACGGCCGAGAAGAGTTTTTCTGCCCTGCCTCGTTTCCTCCTGTCGCGATTCAGCGACAAGTCATCCTCGACGATACCAGCATATACCCAGCCGCGTGGGGCACGGCGCAGCCTCGTCAATGGCACCGGCGCGACGTTGCTCCCTCCTCGCCGCAACCATTTGGCTTTTGCGCGGCTGTGCGTCCCTCGGCTCTGCAGCCTGGTCGCCCTGCTGCTCCGCCTCGTGGGCTCTCGCGTTACTTCCTCCCGGGCCGCCATCTCCTCCGAACGCAGCGATCGGGGCATCGACCTGTCTGGCGCTCATCCCCCGTTGAACGCCGCTAAAACCTTCTTTCTACGAACGTCGCCGCCGCCGCTTGGCCCTTCGACCCTTCCTGTCCCCCTCCTCACACCCTCTCTCGCAACCACATCTCTTGTTTCTCCATAGCCGACCCAATCCCTCCTTCGACCGTGCTTGCATTCAATCTCCCGGCTTTCCTGGTTCTGGTCCTGGTCCTGGTTTCCCCTTCTCTTCGCATAGTCTCTCACTTCACTCAGATTCAAATAAATCAATCAAGTTCGTCGTCTGACTCGTGCGCGATCCACGGATGGGTTGCGAGGTCGGGCTCAGGGCCGCTCGCCGCGCTTAATGGTACTCGGGACGGGTGGGGTGCGCGCTGGTCGATGGCCCAGGCATGTGTCGATGGAGCGGTCCTGGGCGCGAGGGAGCGCGTCTAGGCGAGCTTCTTCTTGATGCTGGCCATCAGCTTTCCGATGCGCTTGTGTGCGAAGCTCGACGACGACGACGACGACGACGGAGCGTCAGAGGACGGAGCAGGGTCCGAGGACGGCGCCGCGTCCGAGGACGGCGCCGCGTCCGAGGACGGCGCACTTCCGCCAGAGGTAGCGGGAACCTTGCCGGCTTCGGGGTCACTGACGCCCGGTCCTGAAGCCGTGACGGGAGCGGAGGACTCGTGGGCCTCAGGGGCGACTTCCTCGGCGGGCGGCACGTCGGACGACTCGACGGCGGTAGCGTCGATCTTGGTCTTCTCCAGCGCCTCCGCCAGGCGGTCAGTGTCTTCGTGGCTCGTCGAGGCCGAGGCGACGGCAGCGCCGGCAACAGGCTCGGCAGCAGCAGCGGCGGTGTCGCCCTTGTCGCCCGCCTCGGCTTCCTGTTACCAGAGCAAAGGAGGGAAATCAGTTCTGAGGATGCGTCCTGGCCTGCAGCTGTTCATGGCCCATAGGTGACAAAGGCATTCGGCTCACCTTGACCTCTTCCGACTCTTCGACCTTCTCCTCCTCGCTCTCATCTTCCTCTTCCTCGTCTTCTTCGCCTTCGGGGTCCCTGAGCAGAGCAAAAAAAGCAAGAGGCAAGGCGACGAACGTTGTCAGCAAACGTCGGTCGCGTATGCGTTGGGGCTGAAGCGCATTCCTGCCAGCGAAAGAGACTCACATCTCGTCGAGCTCGTCAAGGGCATCCTCGTGGCCCCACTTGGCGAGAGCGGCCTTGATCTTGGTGATGCATTCATCTTCCTCGTCCGCCCAGTTGCCGTTGATCTCGAGCTTGCTCAACTTGGGCAGGTGGTGGTCGATGGCGCTGCCGAGCGTCGACAGACTCTTGCGGTCGAGGTCGCAGTACTGGAAGTACGCCTCCTCCAGCAGAGGGTTGCTTCCATGCTCGAGCGCACCGACGACAAGAGCGCCGCCGCGAGGCTTGAGGAGGCAGTCAGAGAGGTTGAGGACCTTGAGGGCCGGCCACTTGTTCAAGCACGCTGCGATGGCACGCGAGCCGGGCACGGCGGCGGTGTTGTCCTGGAAGTCGAGGACCTCGAGGTGCGGGCAGCTGGCAAGGCCCTGGCTCAAGGCCTTGATGCCCTCCATGCGAATTCCATTCTGGAACATGCGAACCTCGACCAGGCAGCCGTGAGCAGCAAAGGCCTGGGCCCAGAGGGGGGCAGAGCCGTTCTCGAGGCGGTTGCGGCCGCAGATGACGACGCGCAGGTTCGACTTGAGTCCCTTGGTCTTGAGCTCGGCAGCGGCGGCGATGAGCGCCTCGGCGATGATGGTACCTCCGGAGATGCCGAGGCCGTTGTTGTTGAGCTTGAGCACGGAGAAGTGGTGGTTGTGGGTGAGGAGGTTGACCATGGGCTCAGCGGAGCGGCCGCCAAAGGCGTTGTCGGACATGTCGAGCTCGACGAGGTTCTCGTGATCCACCAGGGCGTCGCAGAGGGCGCGCAGGGCATCGGGAATCTCAGTGATCAGCCGGCCGGTGAAGATGTCGGCGAAGTCGGCGACCTGAATGCGAGCAAAGGGAGACGGCGACGAGGGATGGGTCAGGCTACCTGCACTCTCTCGCGCCAATATATGCGGCGGTAGCAGCAAGAGCTCCCTGCGACGCAGCAGCGGCAACGACGGTGCAGGCGTACCTTGAGCGTCTTCTTGGTCTTGAGGACCTCGCCGAGAGCCTGGCACGCCTCGACGCCGAGGGTGTTTCCACCGAGGTGGATCTCCTCGAGATCATCGATGGCGGCGAGGATGTCCAGGTGGGGCTGGATGTCGGCTCGGGTGTCGAGCTTGAGGTTGCGACCAGCGATGCTGAAGATCTTCGACATGGTGACGGCGATGCGGTCGACGTTGATGAGAGGTGGCAGTGGGCAGACGCGAAGTGAAGGAGTGTGGTGGGCAGGAGGGACGTGACAGAGTCGTGTGGCGGGTAGGAGGGAAAGAGGGCGGTGGTGGTGGGTGTGCATGGAGGGCTGAACCCTGGCCAGAGGGCCAGCAGGTGTTGGTCTCTGACGCCAGGCGCAGGTCGTGAAACCAGGCTAGGCCAGGCCAGGCCGGCAAGCCAACACCTGCCTGAGGATGCTTGCTTTTTGTGGCCGCGTCGAACGGCAGGTGGTTACCCCGATCTGCACCAGGCAAGATCGGCCCGCATAAATCGAGATCCAAAATCGGGGCATTGTGGAGGCGACTGATTGGACGGTGGCTCGAGTACGTGGCTGCGGCAACCGCCATGGCCCGATCACCCCACGCTCGGCACCTGCTTGGATTCCAGCGACACACGCCCGCTGGCGCACAGAGGCCGGCGTGCGCGCCTGTTGAACCTGCACCTCTGCAGGCTGGAATACAAAGCCATGTGTATTCAAACTTCAAAAGCGGTGTCCAGGGCTTCGGGAATACGAGGTTGCACCAAGGCCGCCTGCCTGGGCAGGGCCGTGCTGGTGGCGAGGCCTGTGCGATCCTGCGAGGGTCAGGCGGCGGCGTGGGAGGCCGAAGCGGCAGGCAGGCAGGCAGCGAAGACAGGCTAGGGCGCGAAAATTCGCCTGGTCGAGGCGGGCGGCTGAGCTCTCCCCGCTCCCCGGGCAAGGGAGGACGAGGACGAGGGAGAGGGAGAGGGAGAGGGAGAGGGAGAGGGAGAGAAAAATTCGTCCCCCCATCTGGCGGCCGCTCCCGTCGTGGCTGCCCACTCAACTCGTGCGCCCCCTTGTCCGCTCGCGCTCCTCCCTCCCTCTCACCCCACCATCAACCCATCCCCTCCCCCGAACCCTCATCCCCTACAATCATCTGCGTCGCCCGCTTAGCGTTTCGTCAAGATGGTTAAGTGAGTGCGACCTGCCGCAAAATGGCTCGACGCCCACACCGGAGCTCGACGCCGGAGTCAAGCCTTGGTGTTGTTCGTCGTACGATCGCCCAAGATTGCTGTTTCAAAGTCGATGTTTGCCTGCTGATGCTGACCAGCGATCTTCTCTCGTCGACAATGCTCTCACACTTTCCAATGACGCCCATTACAGCTTCACCGTTGATGAGATCCGTGGCCTCATGGACAGGTGAGTGCTCACGATGCCGTGTCTCTGCTCCAGGCGTGTCTCTGCTCCAGGACGCCCGCAGAATCGCCGCCGTGGCGAGGCCGATGGACTGCGGAGCTGACAAAACGACATTCTCCTCTTGCGTCGACAGGCCCACGAACATCCGCAACATGTCCGTCATTGCCCACGTCGACCACGGCAAGTCGACCCTGACCGATTCGCTGGTCTCCAAGGCCGGTATCATTGCCGGTGCCAAGGCCGGTGACACTCGCTTCATGGACACCCGTGATGACGAGAAGGAGCGTGGTATTACCATCAAGTCGACCGCCATCTCGATGTACTTCTCCATGGACAAGGAGGACGTCGGCACCATCTCGCAGAAGACCGACGGTGAGTAAGGGGGTGGAGCTCTCGGACGTCGCTCGGCATGCTCTCCCCCTACAGTCTTCTCCGGCTCCAGTGCTGACGAATATCACCGCTACCGCCCCGACGTCTCCGCCCCAACGCGCCTCCCTGCCGCAGGCAACGAGTTCCTGATCAACCTGATCGACTCGCCCGGTCACGTCGACTTCTCGTCCGAGGTCACGGCCGCCCTGCGTGTCACTGACGGTGCGCTCGTCGTCGTCGACTGCATCGAGGGTGTCTGCGTCCAGACCGAGACTGTGCTGCGCCAGGCCCTTGGTGAGCGCATTAAGCCCGTCGTCTGCCTCAACAAGGTCGACCGTGCCCTTCTCGAGCTCCAGGTCGGCAAGGAGGACCTCTACCAGTCGTTCCTGCGTACCATTGAGTCGGTCAACGTCGTCATCGCCACCTACAACGACCCCGTTCTCGGCGAGAGCCAGGTGTACCCCGAGAAGGGCACCGTCTCGTTCGCCTCTGGCCTCCACGGCTGGGCCTTCACCCTGCGCCAGTTCGCCGCCCGCTACTCGAAGAAGTTCGGTGTCGACAAGCAGAAGATGATGACCAAGCTCTGGGGCGACAACTTCTTCAACCCCAAGACCAAGAAGTGGACCACCAAGGACACCGACGCTGACGGCAAGCCCCTCGAGCGTGCCTTCAACATGTTCATCCTCGACCCCATTTTCAAGGTCTTTGACTCGATCATGAACTTCAAGAAGGACGAGACGGCCAAGATTCTCGAGAAGCTCGAGGTCAAGCTCACCTCGGACGAGCAGGACCTCGAGGGCAAGGCCCTGCTCAAGGTCGCCATGCGCAAGTTCCTCCCCGCCGGTGACGCGCTGCTCGACATGATTGTCATCCACCTTCCCTCGCCCGTCACTGCCCAGCGCTACCGTGTCGAGACCCTGTACGAGGGTCCCATGGACGACGAGTCGGCCATCGGCATCCGCGACTGCGACCCCAACGGCCCGCTGATGCTCTACGTCTCCAAGATGGTCCCCACCTCGGACAAGGGCCGCTTCTACGCCTTCGGCCGTATCTTTTCGGGCACCGTCCGCTCCGGCCCCAAGATCCGCATCCAGGGCCCCAACTACACGCCCGGCAAGAAGGACGACCTGTTCATCAAGTCGATCCAGCGTACCGTCCTCATGATGGGCCGCTACGTCGAGCCCCTCGAGGACTGCCCCGCCGGCAACATCCTCGGCCTGGTCGGTGTCGACCAGTTCCTGCTCAAGTCGGGCACCCTCACCTCGTCCGAGACGGCCCACAACCTCAAGGTGATGAAGTTCTCGGTCTCGCCCGTCGTCCAGGTCGCCGTCGAGGTCAAGAACGCCAACGATCTGCCCAAGCTCGTCGAGGGTCTCAAGCGCCTCTCCAAGTCGGACCCCTGTGTGCAGGCCTGGATCGCCGAGACTGGCGAGCACATCGTCGCCGGTGCCGGTGAGCTCCACCTCGAGATTGTGCTCAAGGACCTCGAGGAGGACCACGCCCAGATCCCGCTCAAGATCTCGGACCCCGTCGTCGGCTACCGCGAGACTGTCACGGCCGAGTCGTCGATGACGGCGCTCTCCAAGTCGCAGAACAAGCACAACCGCATGTACGTTGTGGCCATGCCCCTCGAGGAGGAGCTGGTCAAGGAGATCGAGGCCGGCAAGGTCACGCCGCGCGACGACCCCAAGATCCGCGCCCGCCACCTGGCCGACGAGCACGGCTGGGACGTCGGCGATGCCCGCAAGATCTGGTGCTTTGGCCCCGAGACGACTGGCCCCAACGTCCTGGTCGACGTCACCAAGGGTGTCCAGTACCTCAACGAGATCAAGGACTCGTGCGTCGCCGCCTTCCAGTGGGCCACCAAGGAGGGCGTCTGCGCCGAGGAGCCCGTCCGTGGCGTCCGCTACAACATCCTCGACGTCACCCTCCACACCGACGCCATCCACCGTGGCGGCGGACAGCTGATCCCCGTCTGCCGCCGCGTGTGCTACGCCGCCTCGCTCCTCGCCAAGCCCTCGCTCCAGGAGCCCGTCTACCTCGTCGAGATCCAGTGCCCCGACTCGGCCCTCGGCGGCATCTACTCGTGCCTCAACCGTCGCCGCGGCGTCGTCTTCTCCGAGGAGCCCCGTGTCGGCACCCCCATGGTCACCGTCAAGGCCTACCTCCCCGTCATGGAGTCCTTCGGCTTCAACGCCGACCTCCGCCAGGCCACGGGCGGCCAGGCCTTCCCCCAGTCCGTCTTCGACCACTGGGCCCTCATGAACGGAAGCCCCCTTGAGCCCGGCAAGCTCCAGGACATCGTCACCTCGATCCGCAAGAGGAAGGGCCTCAAGGAGGGCATTCCCGGCCTTGATAACTACCTTGACCGTCTCTAGGCAGTGGTTAGTCTTTGTCGCTTGGTTGAGAATTGCAGAGCCCACCGGGCGACGTCGTTGCACGAAGAGGAGAGGAGATATGACGGTTGGCAAAGTCGCTGTAGCTGCGGCGGACCTAGAAGGAGTGTCGTGCGACGGCGGTGCGGACGGGCTGAGGATGGCATCCCCTGTCTCCTCCCACCAGCACCTTCCATACATCGACCGTCCAGATCGTCCCTCGCCCGTGCCTGCCTGTTGCGCCTTCCTTGGTGTGTCAGCTTTCTACCTCGTCACCGGGCCGCATGCCGGAGAGTAGGACGAGGGCGGGAAGCCATAGGGGCATAGGGAACGGAGACGTCCTGGGGTGTTGGGGACCACTGTCGCGGTTGTGGCGGTGCCTGGGGTGGGGCGGGCCGGCAGGCGGATGGGGCACGCGCGCGGTCTCCCTCCCATTGCCACCTTCGGCTTTCCATCTCCTGCCCCTGCCTGGCCATGCCGGGACATCGACCTCGTCGGCTGGCTGTGCATGGTTGACATGCGCACGGTCATTGTCATCGCTGGGGTTGCGGTTGGATATACGGCCCTCCCCAAGGCGATCAAAATTGTCAGTGCCATGCCCTGGTGGGTGACATCCCACCCTTGGTGGAGGACAAAGGAAGGCCCTGAGAGCATGGAAGACTTCAGTCAGTCAGTCAGTCAGTCAGTCAGTCAGTCAGTCAGTTCAGCGTCTTGCAAGATGGGTTCAGTCAGCCTGTTAGCCACCCGTCTTGACTAGGGACAGAGGTGAAGGGAGCATCCTGTTCTCAACCAGCATCACTTTTTTGACCAATGACCTACTTTGATCTTCAACCTGCACACAGTTCAACAGTCAGACTTGGTGAAAGCAGCTGTACATCAAGATGGGCCAGGGCCAAAGGTGCTCACATCAAACCCAAGAGTCATATTACCCTGTCCAGCCTTGAAGAGTGAGCAGGGACTGATGCATGCCCTCCAAAAAACATGCAAGACCTCATGAAAGACAACTTGAACCACACTCCACTTTGCTCTCCACTCCTACCATATCTCTGCGCCGTCAGCACATGTGACAGCTTCTCCTAGTGGCGTCAAGCATCAGGAGATGATCTACAACCGCGCTGATGGCGCCATCATCATGACAGGCTCTCGCAATGTCAATGCTACGGTCAAGGCCATCCACATTGCTGCCAACATGCCTGGCACGGCTGGTTGCAGCGCCAACGTCTACACCACCGCCAAGCAGAACATCATCGCCCGACAAACCACCATTCCCGACGTCCACCAGTATGAGGGTGACAAGGTTGACAACGCCGCTGGTGGTGACCAGGACACCGCCAACGCGGACACCGCCAACGCGGACACCGCCAACGCGGACACCGCCAACGCGGACACCGCCAACACGGACACCGCCAACGCGGACACCGCCAACGCAGACACCGCCAACACGGACACCGCCAATGTGGACAGCGCCAACGCAGACACCGCCAACACGGACAGTGCCAACGCGGACACCGCCAACGCAGACAGTGCCAACACGGACAGTGCCAACGCGGACACCGCTGAAGCCAAGTACAATGTGCAAAGCGCTTGAGTGAGTCTGGCCAAGACTCAAGAACACAACATCGCACAGGCGCAAGCTCTCCATCAACACCACATTGAGCTGCTCAGGGAGCTCTGCAAGTTGTGCTGTGGGAAGGGGATGAGACGATGAATGAGGAGCAGAGGGAAGGAGTCGCGGGGAGGCCGCGCGCCTAAAAAGGCATGCAGGCCGGCTCTCGGAGCCGAGGGTCGGCCGCGCGCGCGACATCCCCCCCTCCAACAGAGAGCTGGACTAATGTACAGCAACGAGGTGCGATGATGGAGAAGGGAGAGAGGAGAGTGTGGGGCCGGAAGCGGGTCAACAAAAGGGGCGACGAGAAAAGGGATGGGAAGATAGCGGGAGAGGATCAGGACGCCAAGCGGGGAAGGCGAGACAGGGCGTCGGCGTTGGCATGTAGGTTGCCGGGCTTGAATCTGACGTCGACAGAATCAAGGAACGGCATCAAGAACGCTCTCATCTTCTCTATCCTCGGGGTGGACGGTCGGAGGCTGTTGGTGGGCGAACGCAGCACGGCTCTTAGAGGCGCATGATCGGTGATGACGGTGATCGCGACGGCGCCCTCGAGGTAATGTCGTAGGCGTTGGAAGGCCCACGCAAGTCCGGTGATCTCCAATTCGAGGACCACCAGCTTTGACTCCGATGAGCTCGTCAACTTCGACACGTACGCGACGGGACGCTCGTCGGAAGGTGCCTTCGGCTTGGCTGAGAAGAAGGGCGCAGGCGAGGGGGGGGCGGTGGCGTGCGGACGTCGCGGAGCTCCCAGTCGAGGATAGCTTGGTCGCAGTCGTCTTCTCGTAGCAAGTGTTCCGGTTCCCAGGTCGGCCTCGGGTTGCCGATCCAGCGGACGCGGAAGAAGCGTTCGCCGGTACGTCGGTTGGGGCGCTCGTCGATGATGCGATCGATTTTGTAGGTCGGCTCGTCGTCGATGGCGCTGACGGGCTCAGCGTCGAGGCGTCGGCCGAAAGGGTCGGAGTCCGGATAGGGATCGAGCTGCGAGACATCGAAGATAGGGTCGATCTTCATGTCTGGTGCCAGTGAGAGCCGGATGCGGTGTGGAGACAGGACTTCTGCGACTTCGAAGGGGCCCACGGTGGGGGGGTCGAGCTTGTTGTTCGCGGCCGCCAGGACGGGACGGTCGGCCGTGCGAATGAGGACGCGATCGCCGGCGCGGTACGTTGGGAGGGGTCGACGGTGTCTGTCGAAACGCTTCTTGTCCACAGCTTGCGCGCGAGCGACAGCGTCTCGTGCTTGACGCAGTCGTCCATGTGCAAGGGCAAACCGGTCGTCCAGGAGGCGGAGGGCTGGGTCGTCGTCGTTGCTGAGCTGGGCGAACAGGCGGTCGGCACCGCTCTCCACGTAGACAAGGTCCAGTGGTGCGTATCCGGTCGCGAGAGACGGTGAGGTGTTGATCGCGAGCTCGGCGGCGGCGGCGAGCGTCGACCAGTCGTCGCAGTCGAGTGCCAGTGTGCGCATGACGCGCTGCAACGTCTGGATCTGCCGTTCGACCGGGTTGCCTTGCTGGTGGTAGGGGCGGGAGGGTTGGATCTCGGCACCGATCGTCCTTGCGAAGCGTTGGGCGACGTTGCCCACCAGGCGTGCATCGCTATCGGTGATGATGACCGAGGGTGACCAGCCGCGGCGAGTGACCATCTGCTCGACCGCCCTGTATAGGTCTGCCGCCGTCGCTGTCTTGCTGCAAGGCTCGACAAGTACCATCTTGGAGAACAGATCGGTCACGACCAGTAGCGCGTCACGCCCCTTCTCATCTGGAGGGAAGCCCATGGCGACGTCAAGAGAGATGCTGTGGAACGGCCTCTTGGATGCCGTCAGCATCCGCTTGGTGTCGAGGCGACCGACCGCGCGTCGTGGCTTGGACCGCAAGCAGGCCGGGCAATGACGGATGTAGCTTCGGAGCGATTCGACAAGGCGCGGATGGTACGCGACGTCTTGGATTGCCAGCAGGGACTTGGCCAAGCCGAAGTGTCCTGCGTCGTGCGACGAGGCCAGGATGGGCTGGAGTAGCGGTGTCGGGACGCATACTTGATGGTCGAGGCCATGCGGGCCGGTGCAGATGAGGAGACCCTCGAGGAAGCGGTAGCCGGGGGTGTCGTCACCAGCCTTGGCTTGTCGCCAGAGCGCTGCGAAGGCCGGGTCCAAGGCCATCGCGTCAGCGTAGGCGTCTTTATCGCCGAGGATGCGGTGCAGGGATTGCGTCTCAGCGGGTAAGGCTGTGGCCTGAGGGACTGGCGGCGTCTCGAGGTCATGTGCTGCCGCGTCCTGCCGCTGGTGCAGCGCAGCCGCAAATGCGTGCTTGCTCGAATCCACGTAGAGGACGAAGGGCTTCTTGAAGTCGGGATGGGCGAGAACGGGCGGCGACACCAACGCGCCTTTGAGGTCTTCGAACGCGGCTTGTTGGTCTTGACCCCAATCGAGCTTGATCGAGCGCGCGCTGACGCGGGCGCCGGCCTTATCAACTAGGGACCACCTGCCGGCCTCGTTCTTCTTGTATGCGTGCCCTTTGGTGAGCGTGGTGAGTGGGGCAACGCGTTCCGCGAATCGCGGTATGAACGAGCGGTAGTAGTTGAAGAGGCCAAGGGCGTGATACAGGTCCTGGAGATAGGTGGGCGCCGCAAGATGTTGGATCGCGGCCGTCTTGTCATCGAGAGTGGCCACGCTGTCGGCTGATATCTTCCGCCCGAGCAGCTTGAGCTCCGGCGTGGCGAACGTGCACTTCTCGGGCGAGAACTTGAGCCCGACGGCGATAGCGGCCTTGAGGAGGCGCTCGAGGGACGCGGCATGGCCTGCAAGGGTGCGGGAGAAGACAACGACGTCGTCCAAGTAGACCAGTGCCTCGACCCATCGCATGCCGCCCAGAAGCAAGTCCATGAATCGCTGGAAGGCGGCCGGCGCGTTTCGCAGGCCAAAGGGGACTTGCTTGTACTGGTAGAGGCCGTGGTGGCAAACGAAGGTCGTCTTGGGGCGATCCTCCTCCGCAATGTCCATTTGGTGGTATCCCCGAATGGCGTCGAGTCCGGAGAAGATGGTGCATCCGCCGAGTGCCTCGTGGACGTCATCGATCCGCGGAAGTGGGTAGCGGTCGACGGTGCTGGCCTCGTTGAGTCCGCGGTAGTCGACGCACATACGATGCTTCGTGCCTTGCTTGACCAGGAGGATCGGGAAGGAAACTGACGAGTTCGACGGCTCGATACAGTCCCAGTCGTGAAGCTGCTCGAGGTTCGCGTCGATGATGCCCCGAGACTGCGGGCTGACGCGGCGGGGGGCCTCAGGTCGAAGCGTTGCTCCGGGCTTTAGCGGGATGCGCATGGGCTCGCAGCGGATGTGGCCAGGGCGACCGTCCAGTGAAAAGGCGTCGAGGTTCCGTCGCAGAACGTCGACAATCACCTGGTGTGGCTCGTCCGAGTCGGGAGGGCAGCCGACGCGGAAGCGTTTGTCCACAAGCGCGATGCGAGGGTCGGCGTGCGTCTTGGGCAGCGGCCATTCGTCGGACGGCTGTAGCGGTTGCGCGTCGCTGCTTGTGCCGGTGGCTTGCCAGTACGGCGCCGTCCCACCGCCGATGTTGGACGCGAGTGCGGCCGTAGCGCGGACCAGCAGCAAGTCCTGTTCCGACAGGGGTCGTGCGGGGCTGCGTACCGCGGTGCCGTTGTCTGCCGTTTGCTGCTTGGCGGCTGCGTTTGGGCCGAAAGCATCGCCGATCTCGCTATGGTCAACGGCGCCGGACTTGTCCTGAGCGGGAGCACGCGTGGCTGCGTGTGGGGCTTCGCCGTCTTTGCCTTGGGCGTGAGCGGTGGGCACCTCTTGTGAGAGGTCCTGCGCAGCGGTGCTTTGCGAGGAGTCGGGCGGACGGAGCTCTTCATCTCCCTCCGCGAAGAGCAAGAAGTTGCCTGCTCGGCTTGCCTGCGTACCTGCAACGAGCGGGGCGGCCTCGCCGAGGACGAGGTTCTGATGCAAGCGATGCGGTCGGGCGCTGAGATTGGTGACCAGGATATACTGAGTGTCGGCGTCGATGACAGCGCGCCCTGTCGCGAAGAGTGTTCTTGATGGACCGTGTGACCAAAGACTGCTGTCCACGACGTAGTCCACGTCGCGGCGGCAGCCGTGGGTGACTCGAACCCACGCGTGAGACTTTGGCGGAAGTGTGGTCGCCGCGGCGGTGCGGATTGTCTTGGAGAGCCTTTGGTTGACTAGAGGTCTTCCCCGTTGGTCGTAGATCGGGAAGGTGCCGTGCGGTGTGACGGTCACTCCTCGGCTCGGATCGATGGCTGCCTCGATGGCGTGCAGCGCGTCGAGGCCAAGACAGATTCCCAGGCCAAAGTTGTGGACCACGTGGAAGTCGCTGGATGATGCGATGTCAACAGGCTCTCTGTCAGCGGCGGCCGAGATGACAAACGGCAATGTGACGAAGCCGGCTGTCTTGTCGTTACCGATGCCGTTGACCGAGACCTGGGGACCGGTCGGCGCGACGCCAATGCTCTCAGCCAGCTTTGCGTCGATCAGGCCAATGGATGAGCCCGTATCGAGCAGGGCGAGCCGCTTGTCGGTGCTGTCGCTGATGCGGACGTAAGCGGTCACCGGCGGGAATTGGTGGAAAGCTGTTCCGTCGCCGGTGGCGGGGTGTGGCGGACAGGTCACCTGTCTCCTGGCTGCATGGCAGGTTCGCTGCATGGGCAGGACTTCGGCGCGTCGCACGGAATCAGCGATGAACACGCTGGCGTTGGGTTGCTCAGGGCTGGCGTCGTCGGGCAGGCCGGTGCCGTCGAGGGGCGCGGTGTCGGGGTTTCTGTGTGCGTCGGTCGCACCGACGGAGCTGTCACGGTCCTTTGAAGCGTCGTCGGCGCTGCTGGAGCCTTCGCGCGCTATGGGTGCGCTGCTGGAGCCGTCGCGCTCTATGGTTGCGCTGCTGGAGCCGTCGCGCTCGATGGATGCGCTGCTGGAGCCGTCGTGCTGACACGTCTGGGTCGCAGTATTATCGGAGCTGGTGGCGGGAGCTGGAGGGTCGATGGACTGAGTGAGATCGCTGAGAGTGCTGGGTGGATTCCATTGCTGAGCCGGAGACAAGGTGTTGTGCGTGTTGCAGTGCCTGATGCGTTGCGATCTGTCGGACGGGGTGTTGGCGGGTATGGAAAGCGGGGACGGCCTGCCGTCTTGGGTGTGCCCGCGAGTCGTGACGTCCAGCGGCGACGACTCTACGGTCATTGAGACCGATAGTTTAGAGGCATTTCGGCCTAGAGGCCCCCCCGCGACGGGTCAGGGCTTTGTTCCATCGAGTGGCGAGAGGAGACGGTGCCGGTCGAGGCCTCGTACGGCGTGTCGGACAGCTCGTTGATGTCCGCGTCTAGCAGTGGCCAGTCGCCAAAGTACCATTCTCCGTCGTGGAAGTGGGTTTCCGCTTTGAACGCCGACTTGAACTCATGCTCGAAGTCAAAGTGGCCGGCCCCGCAGCGACGGCATGGATGCTTAAGGTAGACTAGGCTGCCCGTGGCGGGGATGCGGTACGCGCGGACACGGCGACCGTCCTTCTCGACGTAGGAAACGTTGTCAGGGTTGTACGACTGAGACAACGACGCGCGCGGGTTGATGGACGTCTCCCTCCTGAACGGCGTCGATTCGCGCTGCGACGAATCGCGAGCGGTCAGGTCGCGAGGCGGGGAGGGCGCTGTGAGGTGAGGAGGCAGCGGACGAGACGCCGAGCCCGGCGACGCGCCAGTCGGACGGCGGAGCTGGCGAATCTTGACAGAGATCTCCTCCTGCTCTGCTCGCCAGCTGGACTCATACTGGCGTAGCTTGCCAATGAGATGCGACAGCGCCGGCTTGCCCATCATCTGAGTGCGCAACTTAGACTGGAAAGAGCCGGGCAGACCGCGGATGATGGCCAGGCACAGCTCTCTCTCGGAGCGCTCCGGGTAGGCGGCGCGTAGCTTGGACAGCTTGTTCAAATGGTATGAGTCGGCCGTCTCTGTGTCCGGATCCCATCGGCGTGCGTCGGCGTCCTCCATTGTCTTCGTGAGGTCGGCCACAAAGTTGGACAGTAGATTCCGCTTGAACACGGCCCAACTGTCTGTCATGGCGTTGCGTGTCTCGATCAGGAGGGCGTAGTACCATTCGTCGGCCGAGTCGCGCATGCATAGAGGCAGCAGATCGAGCACGGCCCGCTCGAATTCGCTGTCCCTCTTGCGGCTGTCGATGAGTGACTGGATGCGACTGGTAAAGCGGTGCACCTTGGTCACATCGCCGTTGATGGTGCCGACGTCGTCGACCTTTAGCGTGATGCGGCCGCAAATGCTCGACGCGGGGGACGAGGCCATGGGTGGCATCGGCAGCACGACGTTGGATCCCGAAGGCTGGCCAGTAGTGGGCAGGACTGACGTGCTTAGACCGAGGCCCTTGAGCGGTGTTTCGAGCTTTGGCAAGAAGATAGCGTTGGCTTGCTGCTCGGCCTCGCTCTTCGGCAGGCCGCTGTTGACGAAGTTCTGGATGAATGTCTGCCTGGCTGCTCGCGTGGCGGCCTCCTCTGCTTCCTGGCGGCGACGCTGAAGCTGCAGTCGAGTGGGATCGTTCGGGTCATAGTCGTTGCTGTCCTCGCCTTTGATGACGTACTGCAGGAGGTCGATGCGCTGGGCCTGGTTCTCGATGAGGGTCTGCATGTCCTTGTGGCATTGCTCTGCCTTCTCCTCCGCTTTCTTGGTGGCTTCGCCGACGGCCTTCATGATGAGCCTCTCTAGGTCAGAGGCTGTGCTCGAAGAGGCGGTGGGCTCGCGGCGGGCGGAGTCGGTGGTGGCAGAAGCGCCCGCGGCGGCCGAGAGTGAGGGGCTGGACATGACGAGGGTGGCAAGTAGAGCGTTGGATGCCTCTCTAAGGGTGAAGGAGGTGAGCGAGGATGCGAGAGACAGGGACGGGGAGGGGGGGTGCTCCTGCTTGTATGCTGGTTTCCCGCCACAGATCTTGGGGCGGATGCGAGCTGCTTTGTGGCCGAGGGTGAGGAGACGGAGAGACGGAGACGCGGAGCTCTTCTTGCGTTTGGCTCTAGGATCGGGTGCGGTGGAAGGAGGATGATTCCGGGGGGAACGGCGAAGCACCATGCGCTGATGCTGCGCTGGCGGTTGGCGCGAGAGGAGGTCCTGGCGGGATCGAGGGTCGAATCAACTGCTCGGCGGGGCTTGGGCGGCCACCTGTGAGCTACTCAGAGGGCGGGGGGGCCGTTCCAAGCAGGAAAAAAGCGAGATGAAGAGCAGTGCCGCTCTTGTCACCATGTGCTGTGGGAAGGGGATGAGACGATGAATGAGGAGCAGAGGGAAGGAGTCGCGGGGAGGCCGCGCGCCTAAAAAGGCATGCAGGCCGACTCTCGGAGCCGAGGGTCGGCCGCGCGCGCGACACAAGTGCAAGGCAAACAACCAGCGCCAGCCCATGGACCACAAGGTGGCAATGGAAGAAATTGTTGAGACAGGTGCCTGGGTCAAGACCAAACAAGGCTCTGCAAGGCCTAGTGTAAAGGTTGGTGTTATGCCCTTGGGATCTTGCGAACCGCGGTCGGCCGAGGGCGGGGAGTGTGGACCAAGAGAGGTTGTGGTAGAGTAGCTAGGAATTGATGTTGCACCGTAGGATCACTAGGATACTAAGTACAATCGACAAAGGAACCCTAGTGGCGTACCCCGCTGCCACGGCCGTATGCCCAATGTGCGTGGGGCCGGCCCCACGCACTTTGGGGCTCGGACTGGGCTGCAGCAATGACCCTCGTCTTGGCTCCGGACTAACATCCGAGAGCCGTGGGCCCTCGCCGGCCAAGTCCTGACAGTTGGAGGGGGGCAGGTTGGACCAAGGTAGGAGGTGTACAGGGCTTATTTCTTTAAGGTCCTGGTAAGGCCTTGAGGAAGACAAGATGTCAACACAGAAAGGCTGGTGTGTCTGAAGGAATCCTTGACAGATGGTGGAGTCCTGACCTGTTGAGGCTGACAGGTGATGGTGAGGGAGAGAGAGATGGTGACTGGCCAGTCTTGAGGAGGAGGGAAGGGAGAAGGTGAGGGAAGGAGAATGGGTGTGAATTGCCTGAGGAGAAGGGGGAGAGGGGCAGGCCAGAAGGGCCTGTATATATACCCATCAGGGTGTGTACCAAAGTGTAACAGACTTGTACCAAGTACAAGATGTAAAGGTCGACCTGGCGGTGCGCAGAAGATTGTCCGAGGGGCGGAGAAGTCTCTGCGCGTCGGAGGGCGATCGCTTCGGTGCTCCCGTCAGAGGCGCGAGCGAGGTTTGGGAACGGCGGGTTGATACCAAGGGCGACTGTGAGCACCGTTGGCAGGCGTCCACGGTCAAGGATGACTACGGAAGTGAGCTGGCGTGGTGATCTGTCGATAGACGTTGCAATTGCTAGACAACGGTAGCCTCGGGCTCTCGCGTCGATGGAAGACGAGCAAGCGGTGAGGACTGGTATTGACTAGACTGGATGAGGGGCATCCAGTCTACCGACACGGAGGAGGACTAGGCTATATACTGTCTACCTACGGCGTCGAGGCATCCCTGCCTCAACCAATCAGGAATGGCCTCTATTGTCCTATTGTCCTCCATTGTCATCCCAGGGCGTTGCTCCGAGGTGGGACGCCACCGACGTGGCCGAGGCCTAGTCCTTGGCCCTCGGAGCGGATCAGAGGAGTCCTCCTGCCAGCAGGAGCAACTGCGGATCCGCTAGGTGCGTGCCGACGCTGCCCCGGCGCGCAGAGGATTGCTGGCGGCCGATGATTCCTCTCCGCGGCCGCGCGGAGAGAATTCACCTCGGCTCCGGAAATCCTCTGCCCCGCTGGCCCGCACCGCTCAGCCCCGATTGGGCCAGGGCTGTGACACAAGACTGGTACAAGAATGGTACAAGACTGGTACAAGACTGGTACAAGACTTGGTACAAGAATGGTACAAGACTGGTACAAGCTGCAGGGGAGAGGGCAGGGAAAAAAGGAGAAGAACCCAAGGGGGGGAGGCTGCTGGGATATTCCTTGACACCTAGAGCTGAGGCTGCCCCTGCCCCAATTGTACCACCACATGTACCACCTCCTCACACACACCTCATCCAAAAGGTGATTGATGCACAGAGATCAGCTGATAAAGGGAGGGTCATGGTTGCTAGCACCCTGTCCTGCCTGAATGACCACAGCATCTGTTGCAAGCAGAAGTGTACACGGATGCCCATCAAGGGGGGAGGGGTGCCACAGCACCATATTTCACTGCACTCCACAAGACTTGCAGTTCACCATGTTGGACTGGACGTAGAGCCACTTGCAATGTGGGTTCCATTAATCAGCCTGATTGATTCATCCCAAATTGAAACAGCAGGGAGCATGCTGCATCAGCAAGGTACAACCTTTGATGCCACCCACTCCTCACTTTGTGTCACCTTGGTCTTGACCTCCACTCGGTCCGGGTGAAAAAAAAAAAGGCGGGCTTGGCTGTCATTCAGGGTTCTCTGGAGCCACCACCATCCCAGGAACCGTGTCGGCCATGCCCCGACCCTCGCCAGCAACGACCTCTGCAGCAGCAGCTACTGTTACGGCTGCTTGCAGAGCACCCCAAGCAGCCCGCTGCCGTGCCGACGCGGCAGGGGTCTCGCTCGCACTCGGGATGGCCCCACGGGTCAGAGCATGTCGCCCTGCTGCCTTCTCGAGCGCGACGGCACGGCGGCCCTTGTCGACATCGCCGCAACCTGTTGACGATGGCCACGCTGCCGCGACGCCGGCTGGAGCGCCAGCTTCGGCCAATTTCCGACCGCGGCGTCGCTTTCCGCTCCCCACCGTCGTCCCCTCGTGGTATGCTGGCCACATGCAGAGGGCGGTCCGCTCCATGCCCTACCTCCTCTCTCGCTCGCCCCCTCCGCTCGTCATCGAGGCGCGCGACTCACGTCTGCCCATCACCAGCATCAACCCTGTATTCGAGGAGCTCCTTCGCAAGGCTCCCGCGGCCGATGCGGGTTTCCACGAGGCGTCGGACGGCGACGGGATAGGGCACGGTTGGGGCAGTCGCCGACTTGTCGTCTATACCAAACGGGACCTCATCGACCCTCGCCTAGAGGAGCCCATAATCCGGGCGTTTAGGAAGCACGGAGGCGGGCAGGAGGTCATCTTTGTCGATACACGCAAGGACAAGCACGTCAAAAAGGTCCTCGAGTGGGTGCAGGAGCGTGCCCGCCACCTCGCCGCCTCGCCGCTCTCGGCAGCCGCCCCGCGCTCAGAGAGGGCAGAGAAGCGCGCAAAGGCCACGCTCTCGGGCGCCTTCAGGCACACTCCGACGCCAGAGGAGGGCGTGCGCCTCCTCATTCTCGGCATGCCCAACGTAGGCAAGAGCTCCCTCCTCAATGCGCTCCGAAGGGTGGGCACAGGCAAGGGCAAGGCGGCCAGTACCGCGCCGCATCCCGGCCATACCCGCAAGCTGACGGGTACCGTGCGGATCTCCAAGCATGGACCGACGCAGACCAGCGACCGGAGAGGCGATCGCAGGTCGGGCGCCAAGCACCGCGGCCGCGAGGGCGACGCCGACGGGGACGCGCCTGACGCCCGAGAGCACGGTGGCAACGCCAGCCTGTTCACGATTGACCCCGACTCATCTGCACTCGGCGCCGCGTCGACCTCCAGCGCAGGGCCTAGCGATGCCGTCGAAACCAGCAAGAAGCCGTACGACCCTCCCATCTACGTCTACGACACGCCCGGCGTCATGGTGCCTTTCCTCGGCCGCGGCCGGGCCGGAGCCGAGCGCGCAATCAAGCTGGCGCTGGCGGCGGGCATCAAGACGTCGCTGTTCGATGTGCAGATGCTGGCCGACTATCTCCTCTACCGCCTCAACCTGCGTTATGGCTACGAGCTTCAGCAACGCGAGCTGGAACACGCATCCGAGACGGCGGCGGCAGCGCCCCGGCCGGCCTACCTGACACACATGCCGTTGCCGCCCGACGGCGCCGAGCCAACCAACTCGGTGGCCGACTTCCTCGAACTCGTCGCCGAGCGCGCTCCTGGTACCATGACGCGCGGCGGTACGCGTGACCTCGACGGTGCGGCCGAATTTTTCGTGCAGCGCTGGCGCGAAGGCAAGGTGGGCGACAGCATGGGCGAGTTGGACCTGGGCATCGGGGAGCTGCCCCCAGTCTACGTCGACGAAGATGAAGTCGGAGTCGAAGGGCCGCCGAAGCGCCGGGAGTCTTTCGATGAGGAAGCTGAAACGGATTCCGTTCACCTCGACAAAGCGACGCCGGAGGAATCGATCGAGGCGCGGATCGATCGGCTGGTGGCGGCACACTTCCTCGAAGTGGAACGCGACATGCTGCAGCGCGATCGCGGGCGGCGCGGGAGGCATGCCGAGGACTCGCACGGGCACAGCATATCTTCGGCGCTCGTCTCGCGCAGCGGCATACCGGTGCGGCGGGAGAGCTCAGCGGTGCGGTCGCGCACTGCGGCGCTGGAGAAGGGCACCAGCATGAACCAGGCCAAGAAGCAGCTCAAGCGAGAGGACCACCAGTTGCGGATGCAGCGGCTGCGGGAAAGGGGAGTGGCGCTCAAGAGGAAGAGCGGCGCCTCGAGCCTGGCGGCCAAGGCGCCCTGGATCGGAGGGCGGCTGCAGCGCAAGTCGAGCAAGGGCAAGAGATCTTCGGGACGCTAGGAGGCTCTCCCGTCCCGTACCGTCGACCCGCGCGCATCGTCGCACCCCATCGCATGTAATTTGTATCGTTGACCAGGGCAGCCGTCGAGTACTGTACTGTACCGTAGCAGCATCGAAGACGTCGATCATGGCAAGGCAGAGAGCAGGATGAACTGCTCGGGCGGAACCGAAAAGGGAACGGGCTGGGGGGCTAACCAGCGGACATGCGCTCCGTGCGCGAGGCCGACCCTGCCGATCTCCAGTCTCCGGGCAAGGAAGAAAAGAAAAAAAGGCAGGCAGGCATGCGGGCTGCTGGCCCGCCCGCCCGCCCGCCCGTCCGTGACGCTTCGGCCCTTGTGCTCGCGTCTAGATGGCCGTCTGGTCAGGCTGCGATGACATGAAAGCGTGCGAAGCCCAACCCCAGCAGCCATCACCACCACCACCACCACAATTACCTTCTTATTACCACCAACCTGTTTGGTCTCCCCATCACGACTGCACCTGCCCTCCCTCTCGATCATCAACTCGTCGCCGCACGCACCTACTTATTGACAATGTCTGGCGGAAACTTTGAGCTGGTCGCCATCGGCAACCCGCTCCTCGACATGCAGATCCGCAATGGCGAGGCGGTGCTGGAAAAGTACAACCTAAAGGCCAACGACGCCATCCTGGCCGAGCCCCAGCACCTCTCCATTTATCAGCACATCGTCGACAACTACGAAGTGACCTATGTCGCCGGCGGTGCCGCACAGAACGCCGCCCGCTGCGCCCAGTACGCGCTGCCCCCGAACTCGACCGCTTACCTGGGCTGCGTCGGCAGCGACGACCTCGCCAACCAGCTGCGCGCCGCCAACGACAAGGAGGGCCTCAAGTCTGTCTACCAGGTCGACTCCTCGACCCCCACCGGCTCGTGCGCCGTCGTCCTCACCGGCCACGACCGATCCCTCTGCACCAACCTCGGCGCGGCGGAAAAGTTCGACAAGTCGCACCTCGAGACCGCCGAGGCGCAGCAGGTCATCAAGAAGGCCAAGTTCTTCTACATGGGCGGCTTCTTCCTCACCCACGGCCTCGAGAGCGCAAAGGTGCTTGCCCACGAGGCAAAGGCGCGCGACGTGCCCTTTTCCATGAACCTCTCGGCACCCTTTATCCCGCAGTTTTTCAAGGCCCAGGTCGACGAGATCCTGCCCTTCTCCGACCTCGTCTTTGGCAACGAGTCCGAGGCCGAGGCGTTTGCCGAGTCGCACAACCTCGGCACAAAGGACCTCGCCACCATCGCTCAGGCCATCGCCGACTTCGAGAGCGCCACCCCGCGCGCCGAGAAGCGCACCGTCGTCATCACGCACGGCGCCGAGCCCACCATTATCGCCGTCAAGGGCAACAAGGAGACGCAGATCCACCAGACGGTCAAGATCAACCCCTCGGACATTGTCGACACCAACGGCGCCGGCGACGCGTTTGCCGGCGGCGTCATGGCTGCCCTGATCATGGGCAAGGCCCTCGACCAGGCCATCGATGTCGGGCACAAGCTTGGTCGCATGTGCATCGGCCAGGTCGGCCCCATCCTCAAGTTCCCCAAGGAGCAGGTCATGTAGAGTGGTGACGGGGCCTTTCCTCGCGCCGTCTTGTCCGAACTCCTTCCGCTTCGTTTCGTCTGGGCGCCGATGGTCCGTCGCGCCCCTCGCTCGCTCTCAACCAGCATACCCCTCCCACCCCCTCTGCCACCTTCTTCCGCATCGGTCTCGTACTCATTGCATACAGTATTCCGGCCCAGTCTTCCGGCCTATGGCATCCCCTCCCCCTCCCTTTCCCCCTCTACCCACTCCCTCGAAGCTTCCGCGCTCATCCGAGTGTAAGCGGCGTTCGACTGTAACAGGGTGCTCAACATACCCGTCGTCCATGCACAATAGCCTCTTGAAGAAGAACCTGATCGCTCGAGACACGCTCAGTGTCTGTTCCTCGTGCAGCTGTCCCCGTCCTGACGGGCGAGGCAGCGACGGGGCTCAAGGGAGAGAAGGTGGCGGTGAGGGGTTGTCGCTATGACCAGGTGTCAATCTTCCGTTGGGCTGGATCAATCAATGCCCACAAAGGGGCTGGAGGATTCGCCAAGCGGAGCAGGTTGCACCGCCGTCGATGCCAGGGAGCGGGGAAGCTGACGTCGAGACAGAGAGAGTGTTGCGGCGTGCCGGGCCAGGCCAGGTCGGCCTTTGTCGTGCACCGAGCATCGGAGAGAGGTCGCGCAGACGAACGACGCGACGCTGCTGCTCACTCTACGCCGCGGCCAGGCAAAAAGCTAAGCGACGCGTCCATTTTCCTCTTGACTTGGCTCGGCAAGTTCCACACCCCAACCTGCTGCAACTTTAAGAGGCGGGCCCCGCCACACCTGCCTCGCCGCCGCAGCCACACGGGCCTCTCCTCCTGCTCACGACTTCGACCTCCCCCTCCATGTACCTCTACTGATCCAGGCAACGCCTCTGCTGCCTCCCGTGACCGCAGGCCTCGATCAGCATCGCCTCTCTGTGGCAGCACCATGGCGCCCTCGCACACGGCAACGGGCAGCCAGGCAACGGCGATCCAACCCTCGGCTGCCACAACGCCCACCACGTCCCGCGACTTTTTCGCCTCGTCACCGGCAACAACCTCACAGCCTTCGAAAGGCGATGTCAGAGACGGAGACAACGCCGCCGGGTATACTGACAGCGCAGACGCACACGTCGCAGTGGCACCCGCGTCCCCCACACGATCACCCATCCGCCGAGCTCCGCCACGCCGGGCGGCCGCCGAGTCCAAGCCTCTTTTCTTTGACATCGAAGACGACGACGAAGACGGCGACGATTCGCTCGGCCACGACAAGTCTGCTTCACCATCGCACAAGCACAAGCTTCCAGCTGCTAGGCCTCAGGCCGACGACAAGGATCTCGACTTCCGCTCACCCTCTTCCGACCCAGTGCTGGACGACCAGGATGAGCCGTCTACCTCGTACCGCCCTCAACTTTTGTCAGTACCCACGGCTGCGGTCGGGGCGCTCGACGATGACTTGTCGCCAAATTTCGACACGCCCTCCCCCGCGGGCGCAAAGAGCGTTGATAAGAAGCGTACGCGCGAGTCTGCGCTGCCCACCAGGAGCCCGACGCCTGCCCCGTCTATCCACATCGACCGCGATCGCTTCGAACGTCGCTACCTCGGCACGTTTGTCCTCTCCGCCTGGTCCATGTCCAGGGGCACTGGATACGTCCAGCCTGGCGACCTTGTCAAGATCTTCCGCCCGCGCAGGAAGCACCCGACCTCACCGGCCGGCCCAGCAGCCAAGAGCAAGTCGACCTCCAGTGGCGCCAAGAAAGCCAAGCAGACAACCCTCAGCTTCGGCTCCTCGAGCGGCGGCGGTGTCGGAGTCGGCGGAGCCAAGTCCAAGGGCAAGGAAAAGGAAGACTACATCGTGCGCTTCAGCAACATGAAGGGCTTCGAGGTGGGACGCATGCCGCTCGAGGTGGCCACGTGGATGAGCAAGCTGCTCGACAGCGAGATGGCCGAATTCGAGGGCGCTGTCGTCGACTGCCCGCCCAGCCTCACCGTCGGTTGCGACATCATCCTCCAAGTCAAGGCTTACATTCGCTGGGAGGCCTTCTTCCTCTCCCTGATCACGGGGCACGATCCCAGCGGCGAGTTTGAGGCGATGCGGCCCGAGACGATGGAGACGAGTGTCGAAAAGAGTCTACGCGAGCGCAAGGTCTCGCTGTTGAGGCTCTACCGCGCCTGCGACTTGAAGCCTTCGCTGAGCAACAGCATCCTCAGGGCGCATCGGGCGACCAACGACCTTGGCAGCGAGGCCATGCTCGACCACTACGGCGAGGATGTCCCGGCATCGGTGGCGGCCTCGGCCTCCCGCGCCCCGAGCCCGAGTCAGGCGGCCCGGGCTCCCTCGCTGCCAGGACCGCTCGCTTCAAGCGGTGCTCCGACAGCCTCGGGCCCAGGCTCGGCAGCGGCAGAGCCCATCGATCTAGGCGTCGGCGACAATGGCGACACGATGCCCGCCGCCAGCGATGACGAGCCAAACGATGGCACCGAAGTCACGCTCAACCAGCTCGATGAGGTCTACAGTAAGGCGCAGCTGCACGACATTGACCTGCCCGAGATTGAGCCACCCGACACGTTTGCCCTTAAGCTCCGCCCTTACCAGAAGCAGGCGCTCGGCTGGATGAAGACAATGGAGCGCGTCGTCGGCGATCGTGACGACGCTGTCAAGGCCGACGGCGAGACGGAATCGCCAAAGGGCCGCGAACCCAGCCTGCACCCGCTCTGGGAGGAGTACGAGTTCCCGATGGACTTTGACGACCCAGAGGGCAACGAGGCGCTCGTCACGAGCAACACCCGCAACTTTTACTTCAGCCCATACACGGGCGACCTCAGCCTCGATTTTCAGAAGTCCAGCAAGGGCTCCCGGGGCGGGATATTGGCGGACGAGATGGGGCTTGGCAAGACCATTATGGTGGCCAGTCTGATCCACGCCAATCGGGCGCCCGAGGGCGGCGACGTCGGCGATGACGAGAGCGAGGACAGCTCGGCCACGCAGCAGCAAACGGTGAAGCGAGCTCGGACCGCTGCCAACGCGCCGAGGCAGACGTCGCTAGCCTCGGCTTTCGCGGCGTCCATGGCCGGTGACCAGCGCCGGGCGATGCTCAGGGCATCCGTGGCGAGGGGCAAGGCGACGCTGGTGGTAGCGCCGATGAGCCTGCTGAGCCAGTGGCGCGATGAGCTGACGCGCGCCAGCCAGCCAGGAACGCTGTCGGCGATGCTCTACTACGCCGATTCCAAGGCCGACATCATCGCTCAGCTCGAAAGCGGCAAAGTCGACGTCGTCATCACGTCGTACGGCACGTTGACGACCGAGTACAAGCGCTTCATCGATGCTGGCGGTGCGCTGTCGCGCCATGCAGCCGCAGTGGCGCCGCTGTTCGCGGTCGAGTGGCTGCGTGTCATTCTCGACGAAGCGCATCACATCAAAAACCGCAGCACCCGCAACGCCAAGGCGTGCTGCGACCTCTTGGCGCGCCGCCGGTGGGCCCTCACTGGCACGCCCATCGTCAACCGTCTGACCGACCTCTTTAGCCTGCTCAAGTTCCTTCGCGTCGAGCCGTGGGGCGACTTTAGCTTTTTCAACAGCTTCATCAGCAAGCCTTTTGCCAACAAGAACCCAAAGGCCCTCGACGTGGTCCAGGTGGTGCTCGAGTCGGTGCTGCTGCGGCGCGAAAAGCGGATGAAGGACCGAGACGGTCGCCCGATTGTCGAGTTGCCGCCCAAGACGGTTGAGGTGCGCAACCTCGACTTTAGCCCGCTCGAACGCCAGATTTACGACAACGTCTACCACCGCGCATACCTCCAGTATGCCTCGATGAAGGCCAACGGCACCGTCGGCAAGAACTACAGCGTCATCTTTTCCGTCTTGATGCGGCTGCGTCAGGCAGTGTGCCATCCGCTGCTGGTGCTGCGCGGTGACAAGGCCGGAACGGGCCTCAATGGCGTTGCGGAGGGCTCTTTGGCAAGCAACGGAGCGGCATCGCTGTTCGACGACGACGAGGGATCGCAGGACCTGCGCAAGCTCGTCGCCGAGTTCCAAACGGGGTCGAGCAGCAGCGGCGATGGCGACGCGGCGGCGGGCGACGCCTACACGCAGCAGGTGCTCGAGCAGCTCATCAAGGCGCAGGGGGGCGAGGGCGGTGGCGAGGGCGGCCAGGGTGATGAGGAGGAATGCCCGATCTGCTTCGAGACCAAGATCGCCACCTGTTACCTGCCCAAGTGCATGCACAGCGGTTGCAAGGACTGCATCCTCGGGTTCTTGCAGGCATGCGAGGATCGCGAGGAGGAGCCATGCTGCCCGACGTGTCGCAAGGGTCCAGTGGCGGCCGAGGACCTCATCGAAGCGGTGCGCACGCGCTCAAGTCGTGGCGGCAGCGGTAAGACCGGCGACGGATGCAAGGTCGCTCCAAGCTCTCCTTGCGAGGCCATCGAGGTGACCGACGACGACAACGGCGACGGCCCAGCGGACGAGGTGCCGAGCTCTCAGCATTCGCAGCCGGCCGTGTTTTTCCGCCGCAACGACTTCCGCACGAGCACGAAGCTGGCAGCCCTGCTCGAGCACCTCAACGAGCTGCGCGTCGCGGAGCCGGGGTTCAAAGGCGTCATCTTCTCGCAGTTTACGTCTTTTCTCGACCTGGTGCAGGTGGCGCTAAAGCGGAACCGGCACGCGTTTGTGCGGCTCGACGGGACGACGTCGCAAAAGGACCGCGAAGAGGTGCTGAAGCGATTCGAGGGGTGGCAGAAGCGCTCGGGAAGCCTGCTGATGCTCATCTCGCTGCGCGCTGGAGGCGTCGGGCTCAACCTGACGAGCGCCAGCAAGGTCTGGCTGCTGGATTGCTGGTGGAACAAGTCGACCGAGGACCAGGCCGTGGACCGGGTGCACCGGCTGGGTCAGACGCGGCCCGTCACCGTGTTCCGGTACCTGATCACCGACTCGATCGAGGATCGGATCCTGGCCATCCAGAGGAGAAAGACGGCTCTGGTCAGCCACGCCCTGGCCGGCCGCCGCGGCGCAGACGAGGGAGGCAAAAGCGAGGCGCTCGAGAATCTCGAGCTGCTCTTTGGCGACTGAGCGGGGGGCCCACCGGTCCGGGGTCAGGAATCCGACTCCGTTGCAAGCCACTCTGCACCACGATGCGCTTCGCTGTCCTGATACGTTGATCCACTCTGCCCGCTTGTTGCACTCGCAAGGCTCATCACCTGTTGCCCAGATCGCGCACACCGCCTGATGGTCCCCGTGATTCGACCGACGCCGCCGAGCCGCGGTGCATACGCGTGTGGAGGGCCAGAGCTGCCTGTGCCCGCCTGGAAATCCTGGCTGGCTCCGACCGTTGCCCGAGAGCGAGTTCACCAACCACCAACCAGCAACCACCAACCACCAACCACCAACCACCTGTCCACCAACCACCAACCACCAACCACCAACCACCAACCACCAACCACCAACCACCAACCACCAACCACCAACTACCAATTACCAACGAACCAAGCCAATCCATCCACTGCACGATCGTCCTCGGATTCGCGCCTTCGACCGCACGGAGCCGGCGCTCTCTGGTATGTCTACGCTACCCGTGCATGATGTGGCGGCCAGCGACGGGCAAGCAGAGCCCGAAACCAAGACCCACATGGCCTGGCAGACGAGTCGGCACGTACGCAAAGAGAGCCGGCACATGTTCCACCGCCTGGCGAGCGTCTACGAGGTGCATATGCCGGCCAAGGATCGACCTTGGTCATGCAGCTGAGGCGACACGAAGCCACATCCTGACGCCCAGTCCGTATCACCCTCGCCGATATCGTCTTTGTCAGGACTCGCGCTTCGTCGAGCAGGTGGCCAATGCTTACCCGCATCTGCCCTTGACAGGTGAGCCAACATGCCCCTCAGCTGCGCCTTCGTCTTCAGCACTCTGAATCACGCCCGCCGCTTTCCTTACCCCCGCGCAGCCAATCTCCGGTGCGGTGCGTGGTATACGCCGCCGAGCCTCACGACCCTCGTCTCGTATTTCAAATCGACAGACGGCCATACGCACCAATGGGCTTTTTCCCTCAAGCGGCCGAACCTGCACCTCGTGCACCCTCTCCTCGCCTCTGGCGGATGCATCATCGTCGACTCCACCACCAGAGGCAAGAGCATGCCCGATGCGCTGTCAAAGACGGTCCCGGTCTGGTGCGCCGTCCTCAATCGCGCCTCGTGGACCCGCTACGGCACGGCGACGGGGTCCGGGGAGGAGTCGATGCAGGCGCAGCAATGCTGGAGACGCCTCGACACGTACCCCGGAATGGTCGGAGCAAGCGAGAGAGAGCAAATCGAAGAAAAGGTCGACGCGTGGACCAGAACCTTTCTCGAGTCGGATCTCGACGTGCCCCGCTTGGACAGACCGCTGCGTCCGTTCTTCATCACACAAGAGACGACGCTGCCTTTGCCAGACCTCTTCGCTGACGACTGCGACGGCGACGCGGGACAGGTATACACACCCATCCTTCTCGTTTCGGCGTCAAAGCACATTGTCGACTCGTTCCACCCCGTCAGACCCGAGCAATTGACAACGGACTCAGACCTGGGCGCGGAGGAAGAGCAGCCGCGGATATATGTTCAGGGCGCCGGAGACGACCACGAGAACTGGGCACAAGGGCTGACGCCTACTCTCTTTTGGAGACACCGAGACCTCCTCCTCTCCGCGGCCAAAGAGCACCTGCCTCGTCTAGTCGCGGAGCTGGTCCGGCAAGAAGGTGCGGAACAATGGTTCCAGCCCCAGCGCCACCTAGCTGCTCCTGCCAACAGTGGGGCCAAGGAGATGACCGGAACACACAAGGGGTTCGAAGAGATCGGACGAACCGGCATCTGTCTCCTCGTTTCAAAGGGCAGCAAGACGAACGACGAGACGGGCGCAGAGGACGAGGGTCGCTTCGGGCTGGTCGTTTACTGTTCCGCGGCCCTCGACATCGATGGCCACGACGTGAGCCCGGACCGTTCTACCGTCCCCGTCATTCCCCCGGGCGAAACCTTGTCTCAGTCTCCTCCGCAGCCAGGCGACGCGGGATCGAGCAAGAGGAGGCGGATCCACCTCGACCTTCGACCCGGCAAGCGCGGTGCAGCCATGCTGATTGCACGCGCCCCGTCATTGCTTGTAAGATATGCCCGTAGCCGCGCTCCTCCCTCTCTCCAGCGCCGACTGAAGTCTCGTTCCCACCCGTTCCTGATCCACAGTCGTCAGCCCTCAGCTGCCTCCCCGATCGACCCGTCCTGCTGCGCGGAACGAGTTACGACCACGTTTCATCATGCGCCGTCCTACTCCTTTCGCTGCTGTACGCCGACGACTCGCGCAACTTTCTCTCTGACCCCGCCGCCCGTATCCGCCAGGCCGAGAGCGTGACCAAGCAGACAACCCAGCACAGGGTGCAGTGGCTCGTCTCGTCCCTCCCTCACGCAGCGCCCAGTCGCACATATCTCCTACGCATCAACGACTATCTCATCAGCCCGAGATACAGACACTCGGCCTGCAAATCAACATAACCAACAAGTCGGCTCTTGACCAATTGGTTTGTGGTTTCTTAGAACTTCAGGATGCGCAGCAAAAGTCTTAAGCTAGCAGCACGATCTGGTCATAAAAAATCGCACATGTAAAACGCTTTGCAAATCCAGCTGCAGCCAGCTTGTGCGATTTTCCAGAAGCGCAGCAGTTGTGCGATTAGCTGCAATTCGAAATCCTGGATGCTGCGGCGACGATACTGACCGAAGGCAAGCGAGGCGCGCGGTGGTGCTGGTGACTGTAGAGATGGGTTGGCGTTGCGGCTATGACGTGCTGCTGGACAAGGGTGAGGATGAAGGTGAGCATCAAGAGTGTTGAGGCGTCAGCGCCGATGCTGTCTAGGGTGGCAACACGCCGCAGATCGATGCACTCACCTAAGTGGCGTTGGCAAGCGCAACTCATATTTAGCAGCAAAATGAATACCCAATTTTCCCAATTGCACAGGCTGTTTTTGGCTGAAGGGCCACCCACGGCCATTTTCTGAGGGTCAGCTACGGCACTTTTGGCCGTAGGCCTCCCACAGCCCTGGGCTGGCCCAACCCTGCGCAGAAAACGGCCCTTTCTGCTTATGTCAGCTCAGGAGGCCAGGCATGCACGTGCTGGCCAGCTGGCCCTTTGCAAAATCCACCCGCCTGCCTGTCATTCCTCCTGCTGTCCTACCACCACATCAGCTGCCACCACCTCATAGCTAGTAGCAAAAGTAATTCCCGAATTTCTCAATCGCACAAGCTGTGCGATCTAGGATTTGAGAGTTGTCATACACTTGCGATTTGATATCCACTATGAGTGGCCAAGATTACTGACTACATCCAGGGAAAATCCAGGATCTCATATTGCAGCTCATTGCACAACTGCTGCAATCTGAGAAATTGCACAAGCTGGCTGCAGCTGGATTTCCAAATTGTTATACATGGGCGATTTATTTTGACCAGATCGTGCTGCTAGCTATGAGAGAGAGGCAAGCAGAGGACCAACATCAGCGCCCAATTTAGTAGAAAACAACTGCACGCAGACAGCTTTGTGACTCACGCTGGCAAGAGAGGGTCTGCGTCACGTAAGCGGTGGCGGCAAGTTGGCGTCAATGGTGGCGGCAAGTCAGCCTTGGCAGTGGTGACAAGTTGGCGTTGGGGTTGGCGATGACGGCAAAGTGACAACGGTGATGGTGTTGGCGCAGAATGTGCACGTGGTGTTGGTGATGTCAAGGCCAGTGGGACAGTGCAGGGCTGAGCACAAACAGCAAGACAAGCATAGCTAGCAGCAGGGTTGGGCCCAATTTTGGTTGTAGGTAGGCTACGATCTAAAATTGGGGATCAATCCCTATCTTCGATTTTTCCAACACATAGCCTACCTACGACTAGCTACGATTCAAAATCCAAAATTGGGCCTACCTACGATCCAAGATTGTAGCCCCACCTGCCTGCCTGCCTGCCTTGCCACCTCACGGCCGCGTCCCTGCGGCCTCCGCACTGTCAATCATCAGAATCCTCGGAGAGCAGATCTCCAAGGATTCCGATGATTGACAGCCGCTCTGCTTCCGCTCTGCAGCAAGCAGTCAAGCTGGCTGGCTGGCTGGCAGGCTCAGGCGGGCGAGGTGGCTGGCAGGCTCGGGCGCCGGCCCGCTGGCTGGCTTGGGCGCGCAAGCTGGCTGGCTGGTGTGGCTGACTAAGCTTGCATGCGCGCAAAAAAAAGTGGAGGCCAGGCCACGCCGCCAGGCCGTGTGCGTGCTCACGCAGGCTTGCAGGCTTGCATGCATATGTGCTCACGCAGGCAGGCTGCCTGCCTGACCGCCCGCCCGCCAGCTGAGCCTCGCCTGCCCGCCTGCCTTGGTATAAAGTCTTGCCTGCTCCGCTGTCGCTCCTTCCCTCCCGACCACTACCTTCAACCCTCGCCTGTCATTGACTCTTGCCTGCCATCAGATCCTTCCCTGCCATCGGACCTTCACCTGCTGCCGCCACCTGACCGCCGTCAACCCTCGCTTGCCGCCATCAGCCCAATCGACCTTGATGCCACCAACAAGCATCTGCCCCAGCTGCCTCATCCCGCCACCATTGACGCCGACTTGCAGCTACTGCCAACACAACAAAGATCCTCTTCTCGCTAGCGTGAGTCACAAAGCTGTCTGCATGCAGTCACTCTCTGCTGATCTCAACGCTGACAATGCCCCTGCCTTTCTCTTTCTGTCTCACCAGCAGCTGCCACCACCAAACCAGCGCCGACCCCAGCCTACCCTCACTGTGAGTGCCTCCTTGCTGGCGCAGGTATCACTGGCACGCCATGCCTCCCAGTCAGCGTGGGTTCCAGTAGCGTAGATAGCGTTTGATTCTGCAATAAAAGCTAGTATTTGATCCAATTGATTGTAGCCACATTCTGATCGCTGCCTGGCTACAATCCAAAATTCGTAGCTAGACCGGCATAGCTACGATCCGAAAAATCGTAGCTAGACTGGCGTAGCTACGATCTGAAAAATCGGAGCTACGCTAACAAGAAGCTACAATCTCAGAATTGTAGGTAGACAGGTCTAGCTACGATCTGAAAATCGTAGCTAGTATACGATCTAAAAATCAGCACGGCCAGTCTGCATCCAGAAATCGTTTGTGTAGAAGGATCCATAGCTAGCGGCAAAGGGCACCTGGAATTTGGCCGTACGCGAGCCTACGGCCTGAAATTGTGAAATCGGGGGTCATCTACGCTAAAAATGGCTGTAGGGCCACCTACGGCCAGAAAATTGGGGCTGTAGGGCTACCTACGGCCATTTGCTGAGGGGCAGCTACGGCATTTTGGCCGTAGGGGGCCCTACGGCCATTTTCTGAGGGGCAGCCACGGCATTTTTGGCCGTAGGGCCCCCCACAGCCTGGGCCGACCCTACCCTGCGCAGAAAATGGCCCTTTCTGCTTACGTCAGCTCAGGGGCCTGCTTGCGCGCGCGCTGGCCACCCGGCCCTTTGCCAAATCCATCCGCCCGCCCACCCGTCTCTCCTCCCCTCCTACCACCACCAACCGACGCCAGCCGCCACCACTCGCCAGCCACCCGCCAGCCAGCCACCAGCCGCCAGCGAGGCCCAGCCAGCCGCCAGCCAAGCGCAGCTGCCAGCCCAGCGCAGCTGCCCGCCAGCCAGCCGTCAGCCCCGCCACTCGCCCAGCCGGCTGCCAGCCGCCAGCCAAGCGAAGCTGACAGCCAAGCGCAGCTGTCAGCGCAGCGCAGCCAGCAGCCAGCCAGCCGCCAGCCGCCAGCCGCCACCCAAGCCAGCCACCAGCCAGCCGTCAGTCAAGCACAGCCGCCAGACACCCGGCTGAGCCAGCACCCGCCAGCCGTCAGTCCAGCCCAGCCACCACTGGCCAGCCGCAGCCAGCCAGCCGTCAGTCCAGCGCAGCACCGCCAGCCTAGTCAGCGCCGGCAGCCAGCACCTGCCAGC